AAGGATTGTAATGTAACTAATACCTAACACATTTAGAAAAGTAATCGTAAATATGAAATGACGTCCAAAAAGAGGTTTAAAAACTCAACAATACTCCTTATGTGGCATAACTTCTGTGTTGAACTGCTAAGAGGTTCTTAATTACAAATATTTAAGTAAAATTATTGTCGCCTGTTAATTATGATGAAAGTAGGTAGGTGTATTTAATATTAAAATCCAACTTTTAATGAGCCTATCACCTTCTCTGTGTTTAATTAGTTTGTTAATAGTATTTGTCATCACGCATACTAATGATGACAGCTAGAAATTGAGTTTCGTAAAGTAACATTTTATACAACTACAAAATATATTAATATAATTAGCACGATGAGTGAACCTCTTTTCAATCGACTCCAAAAAGAAAGAGATTCTTAATTTGGTAGTATTTTTTATGTTAATAAACATACATTATCAATTGTTGACCTATTTGGAAAATGATTATTTTATTTGAAAGGATACTTCCAGAATGGTTCCATATTTTTTTTATTAAAATTGACGTAATAGTTTAGTTTTGAAATCAAACTAATTGGTTTTAAACACAATTTTAATTATGTAAAAAACTAACTGTTTATCGCGGTGTCGCGAACATGAAAGCATTCTCGTAAAAAGTAACAAATATTGTACAAAGTGTAAAGTTTAAAATTTCTAAAGATGTTTAGATTTTTATAACTAAAAATAATTTTGATTTGAAGATTTGAATGAAATTTAATACATAGAAAAGAATATGCTAGATTAACACATATATTATTTTTTTACTAATTCCAATTTGATTTATTAAATGATAGTATAGATAGTACCTAGCTTTTTAGGTATAATTAGATAGCCGTCCACGTTTGCCTTTTAGCATTGTCTTTTATTTATTTATTTATTCATTAGTACAAATATGTGTACATGGCGAACTATTGTTAAAAGCATTCTCTTCTTCTTCTCATTCTTCCTTAGGGAAGTGTCAGAATACTCGCAATGCGGTACTAATAATTATTGAAATACATACATACTAAAATTACATATATAAACGAATAAATATATATAAATAACAAATATACTTACACATATATGACATATACTATATTATACACGAAATTGAGAATAATATAAAGCACTTACTGCTCGGATAAAGTAAAAAAGTGAGCGTGAACGTTTCTTTGAAAGACGGTTTAGTCGGTAGTCTCTTAATGGCATCAGTAAGCGCATTCCAGAGTTGTGAAGAATGTAGGAGAAAAGAGTTTGAAGCGAAACCAGTACGGTGAGAGGGGAAAGATAGTTGGAGAGTATTACTGGAACGAAGGTTATGATCGTGAGTTTCAAAAAGGTACTGGAATTTACTGCTTAAGTAGTTAGGAGACTGGAGGTTTCGAAGAAGAGTGTAGAGGTTACAAAGAGTCCTAGCGTTTTTGCGTTGACGAATAGAAAGCCATTTCAACTGAGACCGGTAAAAAAAATATGATCAAACTTCCGGAGGTTGAAGATAAAGCGAATGGCTTGGTTGAGAAGACGGTCCAGCTTATCGAGAAGATCTTCATTAAGATTTGGATCACACACATCAGCATAATCAATAATCGGCATAATTAGGGCGTGAACAATAACATTAATTTTTGTAGCGATAGGCAAAAAGTTTTTAAAGCGGTATAAGGAGCGTAGAGTAGCAACAACTGAGCGATTCACCTCCGCAACTTGATGTGGCCAGCTGAGTGATGAGTCTATGTAAAGGCCAAGATCTTTAACACAAGTTTTTAGTTTTATAACTAAATTGTTAAATGTAATTGGTGCCATTGTGTTAACATTAAGTTTAGATAATTGTCTAGAACTGCCAATTACAATAGCATGACACTTAGAAGAGTTAACAGCTAATCCATAGTTAGACGACCATGCCAGAATGCTGTTCAGATCGTTATTAATATTCGCAACAGATTGATTGATATAATCTACAGTGCATTTTATAGTTTTATTAAATGTTTTTACTCCAACAGGCTAAAGGCGCTTTATTCTTTAGTAAAGTCCGACATTGAACTTTTAAATAGACTAATTCTAACTATGCTATTTACAAATTCTACCCCAAGACTTTGACAAAAAGACGAAAGTAATGTCATTACCTTTATGTTTGTTTAGGTATAGTTATACCTAACTTTTTTTGTTGTATTTTAACAGATGTATTAATTAAATATTCAGTACAATTAAGCTTTGAGCTTTTGACATTAAGCATTTTTTTTTCTAAAAATATCTAGCCTAGAAATTTATCGCAATATGTACCTATGTACAATATTATAAGGTCTATGGTTTATAATTGAAACCAATTGCACCACATCTTCGGTCTAGTCATTAGCTTAATAAATGTAGATGAAGATTATAATTGGTATAACGAGTTAATTGTATCTAATGCTTACTTTTAAAGATTTCATTAAAATCCTCGCTTATCTCATTTACTTGCATCTGTATCCTGATATCAGAAAGTGTATTTACACTTTCTTTTTGTTTCAATAGATAAAATTAAAACAAATATCTGTAATATCGAGAGCATCTTAGCAAATTTCAGACCACAAAAGTTTGAATTTGACCGTTTCACAATTTTTGCTCCTAACCACGTGAGAAATATTATAAACATTTGCACGTACACAGATGACGTATAACAAAGCAGAAGAGTTTATTTATTTGAGCGAGATAATCTCTGGAACTATCGGTCGGATTTGAAAATTTCTTTTTGCCTTCAACAGCTCATTTCTTGAAAAAGGTTATAAGTTATTTAACATCACGATACGACTAAGGCCGAAGTTCCGGGATGTATCTAGTTCTTTATAATATATAACTATACATAACACCATTTTGTATGATGTATCTAGGATGCGCTAAAACTACAATGTGTGAATTGCAAATTTCTCAGAAGAAATATCTGGAGAGATGAACCTATATATACTTACTTATGTTACTGAAAACCTACCATCAATATAGGTAAACACCGAATTTATTGATCCTAGAAACCGATATATACTTTGAATTTTATCTCCTTATCACATTAGATCACATTCACACTGTTCGAAGAACTAGATAAATTTTCAGTATATGGAATATTCGTAACTCAATAAGAAGACCGATTTATAACGGAGTGGACCAGTTTCAATCAGATTGACTCACAAATTGAATGTTACGATTTAGTAGTTTTTTTTGAGTACTATGTAAATGCATTTATTATAGTTAGGTATGAAGAGCCTTGTGACAGAAACTGGGCTGAACAAGATGTATGTCAATATGCGGAAGACAAAAGACTCGTGTTACTACTTACTTCTTTTATGCAACTTCCAAAGGCAAGCAAACTAATGGCCTATGTAACAAAAGTAGTAAGCATTAAGTCCTATAGACGTAGACATGAAGAGCATTACGAATATCACAGAAAAGATTGGGATTCCCATTAAAGGTAACCCTTATGCGTTGCCATTTCTAAAAAAACTTAAAAACACAAATGGAATAGAGGTATACAAACTAACTATTTTTATACAATGTGCCCCTCTAGTATAGGACTTTTTAGCCAAGTTAATGTTTCTGATGGTAAAGTACCTAATATCAAGGTTTTAAGAGGAGAAATTGTTAGTAATGGGGTTTAGTGGCCACGTTGGCAGCAATATATTTTCTCAGATGGATATTCATGTGGTTCCCTCTAGAAATTATCATTAATATTGTCTAACGAACCTGACTTCATCCTCATCTATCATTCCTCACTGGTATCTCGCAATTATTTATTTATATATTTATGTATAAATTGCTCACTTCACTTACAGTTTCCCAAGACGTGTGTTAAACACAAATTTCAAACATTATTTAGAAGATATATCTGTAATTAAAAGTATTTATATCTTGCTGCTATATAATATTATATTTGTATATAAATATAAACCATTTCATTTATATCTATCAATAAATACAAAAAATTCTGTATTCTAAAGTTGCTACAGTTATACCTTGCATAGATTGATTCAATTAAAACAATATAAATTTATTTATTTTCCTGTTTACGATGATTTCTACGTAATTACAGCTAACAAAACATTAAATTGCGTGTTTTCTGTTTTATTTGAGTATTTTACTATTAATCATTTGCATGTAAATATAAATTTCATATGTCACCATTATCTTAATATATTTATCAGTGAAATCCTTCTTTTACCACAGTAGTTATTGCCAGAATATATATATAGCTAGTATTATGGGTACAAAACAACTGATAAACATTAAGATATATTTTAATAAATAAATGTATATAAAATTGACGGTCTGACAAACAGATATAAATATATACTGTTATCTTATCTGAGGATCGAACCCGCAACCACCGAGAGTCAGAGTATTAAACCGTTACACTATCAAAAACGTTATATTTATATTTAAAAATGTTTAAAACTAACATAATTTATATTAATCATATATTTTTTTTATAAAAGTACTCTTCTGGATGAATCTCAAGTCTTGCAAATTATGTGCACTATACCAAAAACGTCATTCCTTATCATTGCAGACGTTTAACTGGAGCAGGGTAATAATTTACAATATGTCTACGTCTGTGATTATTTTATTATCATTAAAACAATAACAATAATGTATTCATCTACTTATTACATGCATATATACCTACTGACTTATAATAAATATCTAGATATATAAAGGAATTTGCCTACCTACATGTATTCGAACATGTGTTACGTTTTTATTGCTAATTTATTTATTAATTTTTAAAATACTTCATAGTCAAGTTTAATATTATCAGTATTTAGATATCATAGGTAAGACTTAAATTAGGCAGTGATTAGTTTTTAATCTATGATTTAGAGTCCTCCATAACCATTCTAACCGTGATACATTTTGTGTGGGTTTCCGTATTTTGTCTCTGGGTCTGCAAATACTTTTATTAAACGTGTCAGGTATATAATAGCTCCTATGAGATGGCAAACAATGCTACATGTAAAATAACATACGTAGCTCATTGCACGTTGTGCAGGAGGTGAGCGCGCTGGGGCGGCAGCGCCGGCGCGTGCTTGCCGGTTGCGGCGGCAGCCAGCTTGCGGGCGACACCACTCGACACACGGGCGCAGATCGAAAGTTCGATGCGAGATCGAGCGCGCATATGTAAATATCGGCACATTTACAAGCGAAAGGGTTCACCAGAGCGGCGCACTAACGCAGTGCTGCGCGGGAACCAGTCAAGTGAGATTCCTACGGCCTCCGATAGAAAAATGTCGAACGAGCTTCGGGTCCATCACTCGGCGCGGGTGTGTGATACGCAACGCGGCCACTGCTCGACTGCCGCCCTCCTCTCACCGCCACAGTGCTGGTATATTTATCGCTTAATTATTGAACTCGTCTGTGTAACAATTATGAAGCTCGACGAGTGGTAGGCGCTGACTGAGGGTATACGGCGCTACCGCGTCTGCGCTTGCGCATTGCGTCACACCGTCACACGCAGCACCGCACGCCGCCACTACATGCTGAGGTCGCACTGGTACATCATCAGCTGCCTCGCCGCATGGATGGCAGCCTTCGAGTTTTATCACAATCAATCAATAGCCAATCAACTTCATTTTATACATTATACGAGTACTCACTTCTTTTTATACATTAACCTCCAGCTTATACAGATTAAATATATTATTATCTTCCTGCCTTTTGTTTCCGCGGTAGTTTTATTACAGTAATATATAATGCAATATAAATGTACCTACTTATCTAATGTTGTACATATGTATAAATATCCAATATAAGTAATTTATCTTACGTGTAATAATAAGCTTCAAATTATTAGACAGAAACCCACTTCTTGTAAACAGCTATTCATTACAGTCGTTTGTCTATTGTCATCAGAGTTTAGTTGATTTTTTCAAAATACAAATTAATGGAGTTTTGCCAAACCGACTAAACTCTATTACATCAAATAATGGAATTAATTCTCATTATGACTACCTAGATATATTTTATGTATAAATACCTAATATCGTCATAGCCGTAGAATACAGACGGATCTGACAAATATTAAATATATATATATATATATATCCGTCAGTATTCTACGACAATGACGATATGGTCATTTCATTAACACACCTTAATGTCATCACTCGCACAATATACACCGATAGTCAGGACCTCCACAGTATTTAATAATTACATAATCATTACATAACACAGTATACTGTTTCATCCTAATACCCCCCATGCGTTGCCATTCCTGAGGACTTAGGTGTTATTTCTCTGTATCCTGTAAATTCACTGTCATATCCCACCCTTCAAACCGAAATACAGCCATGCAAACTCAACTGCTTCACAGTAGAAACACGAATGAAACAGAGGTGCCCAAGCAAATGAAATAACAACTTTTTGTACAGTCTCCCTCTGGTATGATGATGATCCTTTTATGATAACGCATTGAATTTAGATCATACGAATGACCCTTCTTTCTTTCCACTTCTAATTATAGTTTATGTCAGTGCCTTACATAAACAAATATTTGATTTTTTTACTCTATTGGTCATTTCTAATCTGGCTCCTGTTCTGTGTTATTTTAAATAATCTAAATCTACTTTAATATAAAGCCAGTTGTAAAATAATAAGTAGATAATTAAAAGAAATATTAATAAATTTTAACAAAAAAAATAAAAACAATAATAATACCTATATAAGTATATTAATAACAACAAAATCATCGAAAGGGTCAGAATAAAGGTCTAAATAAGCTGGATCGACAAGTCAACAATGCTATTCGATTCATCTTCTATTCCGTAAATATGATCGTATCTCCCCTCATCGGTCGCAGCTTAACTGGCTCCTCACTCTTTTTATACGTAATTGGATAAATATAATCTCTAATCATCAATAAGTAGTATTACTACGTAATTACTTAATGCTAATGTAGTTACTTCATTATAGTTACCTAACTTACCATGCATGTATAAAATTTTGGTTTAAGCAAATAAATTATGTGATATAATTTGATTGCAGCAATTCAAAATAAATAAACTGAGATTATACAGATAGAGCACCGAGTCTTAAAAACGGATCAACTTTTTGTCAGCTAATTGTCAAATTAGCTGACTCGTTTTTTTATCAGTATTCTATATACTTACGTATATAGTGTATTTTTACGTATGTATATTTAATTATTTAATAAATAAATTGACTGAGTTTTTACGCATTAAAAATGTGCAAAACAAACTAAATATGGAAGTTATAAAAGGAACACTCATAATTATTTATCACGCAAAATTGTATGAAAAGAGGGAAAGGGATTGTTAGTAATGGAGACTGAGAATCCCATTGTTAGCAATATAACCTAACCAGGTCGACCTCCTCGCGGTTCTCCCTGGGTACTACCATGGTTCATTCCTTATGAATTCATCATAATGGGCTAACTGACCTGTTTTCATTCTCATCGATCACCCTTCACTGGTGCTCCGCTAGCGTATCCCGTTAGCGCAAGCGGGATTACCATACCATTTTCACCCATAAAAAAACATAATTGTATGAAAAAGTTGACTTGTTTTTCTCGAAGCATTTGTATGGAGACACTCTATCTTTATAATCTAATCCTAATATATACTGTAATATTATCTAAATCTGAAGAATTTATTAAAAAATAAGCACCTATTTAAAAAATACATCATATAAATATAATTATTTTATTTGGTTGTTTAGTTGTAGTTAGATAAACATAGTTTAATCTTAGTTTGAGAACAAACACAGAACTAAAAAATGATAACGGAACGTATGTATATCGCTTAATTTGACAACTCAGACAACTGCAACAATGTTGCCAAATTGAATATTTTTTCGCAATATTGACTAAAAAATTTTCTATTTGCAAAATTTTAGAAAAATGAAATTATTGGAGAATCTTTTGAAGAACAGTAAAATGGGTTAGAGAAATTTTGGGTTATAATTTTAGTACTAGTAGTCTGTATGTAATTATAGTAAAATAATATATTTTATATAATATAATGTATATAATATAATAAAATAATATAATGAGGGCAGATAATAAAAGATGGGATAAGAAAAATAAAGGAATTCGCCGTTCGCTTTATGGCACAGTCATATTGAAATATATTAAGAAACGATACAACTTTGTGATATGGGTAAAAGTTCCGGAAATCAAATCAAATCGATAATTTGAAAACAATATTTGGCGTTTGAGTAAAAGTCTAAATTCGCATCTGGCAACCGTGAACTAAAAAAATTGTTCTTGACATTCAAGGTCGGCTCTCGGATCACAAAATGTAATTTTTGTAATAGTTATAGTGCGCAAATTGTTTAAAAATTATTACCTCAAATATCTCCAAGATGTACTCCAGATTGAAAATAAGGTTAATATAAATCTTTTCTAAATATTTTATTACTTTCAAAAATTTAAAATACTCGGACACCTGCATTCATTTTAGTCTATTTCTAACATTCCTTACAAAAAGGTTTTATTGAATTATTATTAAGAGGCTTACAAATAATCTACAGACCTAGAGATTAGTGATCTAATTTATTTCGAAAAATTTCAGTTGGTGTGAGTGTCCTAAAATCTCCGGAGTAGTTTGTAGATATTTGAGTTCTGCCGAAATCTCTACCGCTCTACGACCATTTTACTTCAGCGTTCATCCAGATCTCTTTGGAAAGTATCCAGAGCAAAGAGTAAGTTATCTATATTTACGACAGGTCTTTTATGAGTAAACAAATACAACCAAGTATGAGTAGCCTCTGTTATTTACATGCATGTCTTGGTTTTATGTTTAATGAATTTATTTTAAAAGTAATATAAAAAGAGCATCAAATGCCCAACAACCTGTATACCATACTACCTTAATAATAAACAGAACAATACATCAGATGCACTGAATAATTTTTAGTAAATACTGCTACCTAAATGTGTAATATGTATGTAAATTTTTTTAATTATATTTATCATACAATTAAAACTTTATTCCATTCTTGTGATATTAATTTTATAAATTATTTATTTCATACTTTATTTTAGAAAATTAATGAGAGTTCATTGCAACAATTAAGTGCTCTTTTAGAGGCTCAGCAGTCTAGTCGAAGATTATCAATACCTCCATTATCATTTTATTTGAGACAGAAAAATATGCCTGAAGGTAAAAATAATACACATTAGTACTTAAACATTTATTAATAATTAAAGAGATTATGTTTACTAATATATTTTAAATTTTAGGTGAATTTAAATTAGTAAAAATTAGTTTGAATGGTAACAATGTAAGAGAAACAGTAGCTAAAGTTTTAAATGCATGTGATATGTCAACAAAATTATTAGATAAAATTCCCAAAAGTACTCCAAAAATGGATATAAGGTGAGCAAACATTTTTAATTATTATAAAAAAAGGGTTGAAACAGATTATAGGATATGAATAGTTAACTTGTTATACTTGAGTTATTTAGTTTGCTTAACCATCCTTTATAAATTTTCAGTAATCCTGACTTTGAAAAAGCTTACCAAAAGTATACAGAGGACTTTGAAAATATTACTAGGATAAAAAGGAAAATTGAAGAAAGAAAAGCCATTAATAATATTATGTATGTTTTCTTAATATCTAGTTTAATAATTTAGATGACAATTTAAAGTAATTGAAAAATTTAATAATGTAGCTTTTATAAATAGACTGATGTAATTTATTTATTAATATTGTAATCTTTAATAATTTATGCTACTCAGGTTTTACAAATGGCAACTATATAATATTATTATAATACCTACAAAACATAGAAGTAAACCTCCCTAGAAAAGATCCCAAGCATAGAAAAGTAAAATTATATTATAATAATATTTTATAATTATTTGATAAAATAGAGACTTATAAATATCTAACAAATAGAATTCATCTAATTCTAATATAAACATTAACTGGGAGAATTTTAAATGTCTGTTTACAAAAGCTATATATTTGATATTTTATCTTTACTACAACTGTAACTTTACTAAGAAAATACAATATACATATTGACCACATTAAAAAGTTTATATTGCATTATAATTAGTAGTTCTTCTTTGATTTGTTCATATAGATCAAATTATTAATTTCTTTCAATTAGCAAAAGTTTTTTTTTATTATTATTTTGAGTAATTATTAAATTGAATATGATATATTTCAGTGAATGGGTTCTTGAAAATAGTGCAACAGCAAAAGAAAAATATGAATCGACATTTGCAACAAGAGATCAAGTGCAGTCCTTGAAAGATCATCTTTGCAATACTTATGGTATAAAGGAAGTTGGTAAAACTTAATACAAGTACTGTGTTTAAATTAAGCACCTATTCTACATACACTTTTTAATTACATCATTCTTTTATTATTGATAGAATGCTAATATATAAATAGCAGCAACATTACCTACCTATTTCATTAAATGACAAATATTTTATTTATTAAATTAAATTAATATTATTATAAGAAATAATACTTATCATAATTTAGACAGATTTAAAAAAATATTTCAAAGATTTTTACATTATTTCAAATATTAATTTTGTATATCCATAGGTAAAACATGATAATGGTTGGAATATAAGTCATATAAGAGGAGCATTACAGAGTCTTGTGTCACTTGCAACCCAGCACTCAAATGAAATGACCAATTTAGAAGGTGAGCAGATTTTATATATTGTTTTTCCTTTCCCTTGCCTTTGAAAAAAGAAATATGTGTAAGAAAATATTGAACTATTAATTTGTTTTCAGGTAGAATTATAGCTTTAGGACAATTCACTGGAGTAAGTTTAGATGGTGATGTATATCTCAATATAATTGATGTCAGAAATGAATGGCTTTCGGTGAGTTGATTTGTATACATTTTCAAGACAGAGCTATATTGCATAAAATTGTTTTGTTGAAGAAATATTATTTAATTCCAGCTAATAAAAAAAGTTAGTCAAGAAGACAGCGCTTTGATTGAGATACCTAAGTATGAAAAAGCTTTATCAAGTATTTTAAGAAATATACACATATGTAGAAGGTAACTAATTAAACCTAAAATATTTTACGACAATTATTTTTCTCTAATTCCGGGGGTAAGAGACAGGTTGGCAAAAACTGAACATTGAATTCTGGACTGAAAACCAGTGGAAATTCTTTCTTGAAATTTTAATTTTTTTCTTGACTTTTTTTTTATTTTAAGACATAATCTATGATATTATGTCATAATATAAAGAAATAAGAATATTTAATAGTGAAATATTATGATATACTAAAAAAAACAGCAATACTTATTAAACTCCTACAGCGTTTCACGTTATCAGCTGTGTAAGGTTAACACCACAAGCGTACGAAAACTACTTGTGGAGGACCGCCATTGAGCGCGTAAAATTTCAAATACATTGCGTGGGGTCATAACTAAAAATCGTTAATTATATGGCTGTGGTGCATTTTCAGTGGGAAAATAATATGCCATTTAATTCAGACCATTCATCTGAAACAGCTATTTTCGTTTTGGCCAACCTGTCCTTTCCACCCTGTATATATTCAATGAATTTCAGGAAATTTATGCCAAAAGTGTCCGCGTTCCAATACTGCAATCATCTGAGGCAATTAATCACTTCTATTGGTGACTTTTACGGCCGCGGGAACAAGTTTCCATCAACTGTGCCTGAATCTCTTAGCAAATATCAAATAGTTGTAGAGCCGTAAGTATAAATAAAACATGTACCTACTTAGTTCATGTATTATAAAAATAATCTCTAAAAAGAATTTCATTTAGACACCGTGTTACTTTTAGGTCTTCTGATTTTTGAATATCAATATGCATCAACATCAACTAACGATCTACTATAGAAGTAATAGAAGTCGCTTCAATTATCTATCTCAGCTTTGACATCATCTTACTTAGCTACACTTTTTAACATAAATTCAATGTGGCGTACTTAGTATCTAATTGCCAGTATTTATAGGACATATCGCTGGTTCCGTTTGTTTTACAGGTGATTTTACTTTAATTTTGTAACCTGCATGTTACTTCTTTATTTCCATATCACAGTCATTATTAATTTTTGTTTTATTTACGTCTCAAATACTCGTGTATCTCATTTTTACAATAGCGGCTTTTCAATTTAGATTTCCTCGTCTAAATATATTTTTTTAAAAAGACCATGGCAATAAACATGTATACAGCCCGTCTGATGGTAAACGGTATCATATTTAAAAGTACTTTTACCTTATAGTGCCTTAATGACTTTACCAATCAATGAAATTTGGTATATACATACTATATCTAATAGTGAGGTATATAAACTACTTTTTATCCCTGTCAATAAATTTAAGACGATTTAAATATTAAGCTCCATTTAATAAGCTGATTTTAGTATTAACAATAACGCGAAATTGGTTTCTAAAATTCGGAATTTTATTGTGTAGACCCACAGGTCACGTGAATACGCTAATAATTATTTATTGAGAGTTTAGGAGTTTCTGTAAGGCGCCATATATCCAATCAGAATCCTTAAAAACAGCCACCATATTTATACTTAGCGTTTTTTGTGTATTTATTTATACCCATTTAGTGAAAAAGCAGGAAGTGAACAAATTATATTCAATTCGCTATTTCATTTTCAGAGAAGCAGGTCCCTTAATGGTGTCACCTACTGGACAATTCATAACTCCATCATCATGCCCCGCTGGCGAGCTCATAACATACATCGGCAATCATCTCGACGAAGCAACATTACTCATGACAGAGTACAACATGTAAGTAAAATAATATATTAATAAGCAACAATGTTCATAAGTTACAACTTAGAGTACAAACAATTACAGACCACTGAAACGAACTGCACCTCCTACTATTTCCAGCATTTCTAAATTATAACTAAAAAAGTTCCTGACATATTGTTCTAATGTATTTCTTACATCGTAAATAATTGCAGAAATAAACACGTCGAAAAAGCACTTTATAATGAAGTAGTCGAACGTTTTGGACTTTTAGAATTACACAAAGACGACAGCATAACTCCAGGGCTTATGATTTTATGTTGTCAGAGACTGCTAACTAGAAGTGACAAGCTTCATAAGGTGAGTTTTTTTTTTCACATATATACCAATTAGCCAATAAAATAACAAAACTTTATTAAAATCGGTTAAGTGATTTCCCAGAATTATGAAACGAATATCGTAACATTGATTTTATATATTATAATTTAACCTAAAAATATACAAAAGGTAAAACTAAAGATAATATTTTTAATTCTTGCATGTTTTTGAAGACTACATAAAGAACAATCAAGACTCCAGGAAACTATCTGAATTTAATAATATTATCTCAAGAACTTTCTTATTTTCTGCATTTTAAAGATGCAATGTAATGTAATGTGTTTAAGAACAATTTTTCTTTATTTTTTTTCTGTGATTTATTTTGGAGGAAATAGTAAAGAACTAAAGAGTATCTTGTGTAATGAAAAATATTTTTCTTTTGTTTCAGAAGTTACAAGGCAACATTTTATATATAACACATTATTATTCTGTATTGTCTGAAGGAGTATTATGTATACCATGGAATTTCAAATAATTAATACCTACCAAAAGTGTAAACACAACTGCTTCAGGGTATTAAAATATTACAATTTGATCTAATATACACATCCACTATATCAATGTATTAAATAATACAAACTGTGATTCGAATTTCATATATTTATATTTTAAATATTTATAATAATAGCAGTCTCTTCGAATATTTACTTAAAAAAAAATCTCTTATGATGATTGACATCGAAAGCAAAGGTATACAAGATTATTTACAAGTTTTCCTTTCGACGCATAATGCCAAGAAAACCCAAATAGTACTAATTTTTTTTCTATCATTTACATTGATTTATGTACCTATGTTTTATTCATATTTAATAACATCTTTACATCACAAGCGACTGCAGTCTCAATGAAATTGCTTTTTTCGTTTGCATTTCTTTTTAGTTATTATCTACATGGTTACTAACGAACAGAAGTGAATATACAACTACAATAAATTTCATCGAATGTAAATAAAATCCTTTTAGTATTCTGATAGACATATTCAACAAAATTTACTTAATGCAATTTATTACTTATACAGTTTGTGGCAAACAAACAAAATCATATAGACAACGTATGATGCGTAGTAATCGATTTTGTACCTAAAACTTTTACTGCGAAACTCGCAATGTAATATATAATTTATATAATTTGAATACATTGCAAGTATAGTTATTACTAATAACTACACATATTTTTTCTTATATACACAATACTAGAATAATTGGCTTTAGTATTTTTTGTCATTATTCGTCGAAAAGCATTTTTTTAGTGACATGACTATAATTCCAAAAAATAATATACAATGAATTAGTGCATACTAAATAATTAAATTATCTACACATTAGGTGAGTTAGAAGTCAAATTTACTAAAATATATTGCATTAGTATATAATAAACGAACATCAAAATAAAATTAAATGGTAATAATAAAAATTTCTGTAAATATCAGTGCCTTTTATTTTGTTGTTGTTGCTGTATGATGACGAGCTTGTTCTTTTCTTTAGTCACTTTAGCTACGGGCATATTCGTTGCTGGCATGAGCTGTCTCAAATTTTGACTAGGTATTACAGGAGGCTGTAAACAAAAATGTTTGTATGCTTAAAAAAGTTGTATATGACTGCTAACTATATTTTAATACTACAGCTATCACTAGCGTCTTGTGAATACAAATAATTGCTTATTAAATAAAGTTCAGCTACTTTCCATTTATATATAAATACTGCAGGATTTTGGAACAATTCTTTGAATAGCATGCATGTTTCAAGAATACTCTTAACAAATCGCAATTCTAAAATACATAAATACATTTACCGGAGGGCATCTAGCTAGTTGCTTCATACGATCAACTAATCGCATCGCGTCGTCTGAAGTTTCGGAGTCCGTCGTCATGCCCAATGATAAGGCTCTTTCTGTGTTTCCACTGTCCACATATTTGTGAATCGACTGGAAATGTCTGTAAGTTAACAAAAAACAACCTTTATAATTTTGTGAAGTCACTTCAGTTGTTTATAGATCTACGGCATCTTGTAATATTAAAATAGTGGTCTCCATTTCCCTTTGTAATTCTACCATAAAGACATTGTTCATACATAGATATGGTTCAGACTGAAGAATAAGTTTATGAAATTAAAATTAATGGGTACGAAGGCAAGATAATTTCGTCTTTAGCTGATAGGTATCACAGGCATCACAATGAAAATACTACATGCGACTATTTTTCTGTGTACGAAAGTAAAATAATAACGTCGCGTACTTGATTTACGCGGGCGAAGTATGTACCAATAAAGGATGACAATACTACAATGGTTTTGGTTGCTTTGCCATTTGATGATTTATTTATTTTACTTTAAAAGGAAAACATAGAATACCTGAGATATATAAGACAGTATACACAACCATAACATAAATCAGTAAAGTTTCCACAATAAACCAAACCAAATAATCGTATATAATAATAATATATATAATAATATATACATACACACACACATACATATATATACATACATATACATTTGTAGAAATACAAAGTTTGCTTGGTTGGAAGGGATAAATAGGAAAATAACAAAGGAGACTAGCAGCCCCATAGCTTTCTTGACACTAACAGGTCGACCTTCACTCAGTCCCCCTTGAAAACAACATGGTTAAATCTTGACAAATTCTTTATATAGGGCCAATTAAAGATGATATATGAATTGAAAGCGGTGACTATTTAAAAAAAAAAGTAATATTCCCAACTTTCCATCATGTGAACCGGTAGCCACGTAACTAGTAAATAACTAAATAGATAAAATAAATAGAAAAGAAAAACGTACCGGGTGTGTGCGTGTGGGCGCGCCCGTTGAGCGTGTCGCCAGGCGGCGGCAGCACGAGTCCGCCACGCGGCCGCCTCCTCCGCCGCCGCCGCCGCACCTGCCTCCAACGCAGCACATGCTCCGCGCAGGTCCACCACCTGCACAACATACCAGCAGTTGATAAAAGGGGAGAAAGGGATTGTTAGTCATGCGGACCATTCCCATTGCTAGCAATATACCCTGTCAGATCGACCTTCACGTGGTCCCCCCTGGAAACCATCGTGCTGAATAGTAATTCATAACACTAGTAAGTATATTAATCACGATGGACTAACTGACCTGTGTTTTCATCCTAACCTATCATCCCTCACTGATGCCCCGCCAGCGTATACTGTTACCGCAGGCAGGATGACCACTCCATTGTAATTCTTAAAAAAAAGCATTAAGTAAATAATGCTGTCGATTATTTATTTATTGCTTTTTTTAATGAATGACAGTTGTAAAAGGGTCTACTCTACTGCTAGCAACATACCGAGACATATCCGGTCTGGAAACTGACACCTCTGAAAACTCGTGATTAACTGACAGTTTACATCCTATTATTTACAATCACATTATTATCCACTAAAAAATTAAGTTATATATTATAGGTAGTTATTTACTTATTAATATAATAAAATCGTATATAATCGCTATTTGTATATAGAATATATTTAAGAAAATATGAGGGGTCTTTATAAACGTAAAAGTTTTGTCTGTCAGTCTATGCACCAATAGCAGCCAACGTGTAAGTAACCTTTGCTATCCTTACTAAAGTTATAAAAGCGAAATAGAATGTGTTTGTTCTTATAACACCGTAACAAATTAACCAATCATTATAAATATTGGTATACACATACCCGTCATAGACATCCCGATCATGTAGATGAAGTCGCAGGTAAAAGGTTGTACAATATAAAAATAATAAATAGAAAATATTGGTATACAGTAGTATAAAATATAAATGTAGAAAAAATAGTATAAAATTATTGTACCTTTTGAAAATATCTATACAGAAGTGTCTTCATTTCATCATGTGATAATTTATCTAGCCTAGCCATCAGCATTTGTTCCCCTCTACTTCTTGAGTCCCTGTTATCTTGAGAATCTGATAAGGAGGCAGATGGTGATTTCCCACATATTAAATTATTTTTATATTCTATTGCTGTATCAATTGCTTCTATAGCTTCTTCACATTCCAGAAGTTTTCGTTCCTGATAAAGTAACAAATCATATTAGCCTCTCTTTCCACCAAAATAAATATAGCAATTATTTTTTATGACATGTATTTTTGTGGAAATATTGTTTACAAGTATAAATCATTTCTATGCATGATGTATATTATTTTATTAGTACAGAATTCCACTGTAAAATATAAAACTATATGTAAATTTTGTCTTACAACCTACCTCAGAATCTGAAAGTGACTTGTAGATTTTTCTTTTGTGTCCTAAACTACACCGCTGGTCATGTAGACACTCTCTAGTTTTTCGTAAATTTTTTATTTCCTTTCTTAGCATTAATTCTTTTTCTTTTGATAATTCTAAACTTTCTAAATCATTTGTTTTCTCTTTTAAAATACTATCTAACTGTGTAATTCTATGAGTAAAATGTTTTATTGAATTAGTTTTTCTGTCTTTTACATCAGTAGATGTTTCAGAAAGTTCATCCAATTTTAGTTTATCTTTAACAATTTCTACATCTAAAGTATTTTTTCGTTTTTCATCTTTACGAATTTGTCTTTTTATTTGTTCAATTTGCTTTTTATAAGTCTTAAGATTTGTTTCATGTCTTCTTATTTCTTTGACCATATCATAATCTATAACACTATTTTCTACTTTTTCTGAATATTGTTTATTCACACTATTGTGGCACACTCCTCTTGATAAATCATGTATCAATCTCTCCTTGGCTATACAAAGATTTATAAGTTCTTTCAGTTGAGATTGGCTACTACTAATCTCTTTAGATAATTTTCTGGCTAAAATCTGCTTTTGAGTATATTTTTCTTTAGTTACTCTATATTTCTTACAAATATCGTCAGTCTTTGGAGAATCTATCATCTTAAGAAGTTCTCTTTCTATTAATTTTGGTTCTGGATCTAAATCCTTTTTATGAGATTCTATGATTATTTTCTGAGATTCAGGTGATATTGCTTTTGCTGCAACCTTCCTTAATAACTCCAATTCTGCTCCAGATAGACTCTCACCAGGTTGTATTGTTCTCCTGCGTCCCGAGTTTGATTGTGAGGTCAATGTGGGTAATGATTGTGAGCCACTAATTTCTGATATAGTAATATCATCAGAGTCAATATGATTTAAATATTCTTCACATCTATCAGCAAATAGTTGATCATTCTTTTCTCTAAAATATTCCATATATTTTTCCAGTTTATCTTGGAATACTGTTTCAGAATGACTATCTTCTTCAGAATCAGATTCAGCATCTGATTCACTAAGTTCACTTGGTTCAGTATCCTCAGCTATTCTAGGTAAACCCTGCTTTGGCCCAATTTCTTTGTTATCTGTACCAACATCACCACTTAAGCATTCATCACATTCAGCCTTTAAAAACAGCCATTCACTAACTTGATTTATATCAGCATCAGACAATGATTTAGATTGCAGAATTTTATTAAAAAGACCTTCGGCATTGGAAACCAGTTTTATCCATTGTGCTGTAGCAAACTGAATGTTAAAGTTATTATCTGCTGGTTGTAATACTGATTTTTCAGTATATACAGGTGTATTATTATCTGCAAATAAATTAACTGTAACAAAATTCTTTATACCACGACAACATAAGCACAGATTTAGTATCTTCAATGTATCCTGATAGTCTTCTGGTTCTGTACTTATGCAGCCGATAACCCAAGTGAATGCCCTTCCACCAAAAGAGTCACGAAGCATTGCAGTAAGTATGCACTGATCATAATTGATGTGCTTGGGGGGGTTTCCTGCTAGTAATTCCTTAATAATATTTTCAAGAACAAACAATCCTGGCTCAGGATATGCTGCTAAATCACAGAAACTTGCTGTAGACATCCTGTGATTAAGGATACCATTACTTCCCACCCACTTCTGTTCCATGCTAACAGTAAATACAGTATGATTGTTGCCTTGACATCTTTGCCTCCATCCCATTTGTAAGTATTGAAAAGCCTCTTCTACATTACAACATCTAACCAAGCCTGCTCCAAGAACATCAAAAATATTATTATTAACAACTTGCATCCATGTTATATGCAATATAAATTCTCTTTCTGGCATTTGATTTAGCTTGTGGAATATTTCGGTTAGAAACCTTGGAACAATGCCTTGATCACATTCACTGTGTATACACTCAAAACCTGAAATTTTTTTATTCAATTTACTATACATTTTTTACTGGACAGAAAAAGGAACTAGGGCATAATCATATAAGTGTACTATAACATACTGGTAGGAAGATATTTTTAACAATAACAATTAGAGGCACACAATGCAATGCTAGCAAAATATCTGGCTGGTCTGGTTGACATCTACATGGTCCTTATGGAAACCATTACAGCTAATGTGAATTAGTCACATTGGGAAAACTGACCTAACTGTATTCTCATCTACCTTCATTCACTGCTACTACACTAGTGTATAGCAGTAACGCAAGTGGGGTGGGGTATCATCCCATTAAAAATATGTTATAATTTCCTTACCTGAACCGAACAATGTATAGGTTTTTCCAGTTTTAGATTGTCCAAATACAACAACAGATGTGTCACAACCATCTAGGAAACAATTTATCTGTGGGATCATAAACGAACTAAACAAATAAACTTGTGTACAGTCCACTGGCAATGCTCTATTAACATGAAATGTTTGACCACTTTCTGTTATCACAATTTGTGTTACTGGGTTACTAAAAATACATTGTGTGGAGTCTTCAAGACTAGGAGGTTTCAATCTAACTGCTATTTGCACAGGTATATCCATTTTATTAGTGTTAAGTACCACTCCAAAATGCAATATTAATCAACACATAAATTTTCCAATTTTTGTCTAAAAACAGATTAAGTAAATATCGATTCACAACTTAAATTAGGAACCTATTACTAAAATTGTAATGAAATAGGTAATTATAGTTTCTCTTGTCAGAGTACCTATTTCAATGTTTTCTTGTTGTTGGATGACAGTTGTATAAAATTGACATTTTCAATATGAACGAAAAAGGTACTCTGTGACTGACATAGTCAATTTTGATTGTACGTACAGATCACTTTAATAAAAAAAACCATTTGAATACAATCTATACAAGCGATTCAATAAATTTGAATGTTTTTAACGATATCTATCGATATGAATATTATAAATAATGTTATTGTATTAGGTTTTAAACTGAGTTGTTACAATTAATCGTGTATATAATAATAAAATAAATATACAATAAGAAAATAAACGCCATCGGGAGATCATTAAGCTGATATATTATTTTTTTGTACTACAAACAATATAAGAAAATAACATAAATAATATATAATTAATGGATACTATGAATCTAGAATACTAATCTTTAAAAAAATTATATAGTTTTATATATGTTATTACGTTTAAAATACTCTATAATCTATTATTGTGGTAATATAATTGATATAATATAATGATTATATAATAAAACTTAATGTACATTAATTTATTTAATTTACATTAACTATATGTATAGACAGTTCTAAATGATTTATACATTCATTATTCAGTTTTGTACATATAAAGATAAATCCGACTCTTAATCTCTAAAATGCAGTGATTATTTACATAAGATCAAGAAATAACACATTTTTGATATTTATCTGCTTTGTGATTTAATATTATTATCATAGATTAAGCAAAATATGTGCGGTCCCTGAATATTGGTAGCACAGACATATAATAATGAAGCAGACAAAGCATAAGTTAACAGTTGAGTAAGATATTTTGCTTTTGCTCGCTTTTACAGTAAAATAAAAATTTAACTATATTTTTCTGTCAGATTCAATCGAAATGTAACACACGCCAGTACCCTATATTGATAAGCTGTATGCCAAAATTATATTAAACATTGAAAATTTTATGATTTTCATCACTTAAAGTATAGGAAAATGATGTAGAAATTGTAAAGTGCAGTCCTTAAATATGTGATACTGTAATTTATGGAATTATACCAGATTTAACTTTCCCTCGGTATGTAACAACTTTTTTATGTCAACATGAATATTAAAAAAAAAATGGCTGTTGGGGTGTGTATTTGAAAAATAATCTTTAGATAATTCCATCGAACAGCGTACTATATAGAAACTTGGATAACTGGAAATAAGGTGTAAAATTATTGTTTTTCTCATTAATAATAAGTATTGAACATGATTTTAACATTTCATGTACATATTTAATGAATTGTAAATTATGTAATTATTTAGTTTTGTTGTTTAGTTTTCTGTTTGGCACTAATACTGGGGAATAATACTCACTATTTTCTATGCTACTGTGTTAGGTTCACTAGAAGAAATTTCTTTTCAATATAAATTCGCTTTTGCTTAGTTTGTCATTCATAATTTATTTGTGATTTTTTATTTTTTTATTTTTTAGAGCATTAAAAAAAAATTTTTACTTTTTAAAATTTGTAATGGTACCTACTATCTTTTTAATGATCTAAATTAATTAAAAAATGGCAAACATACGACATTATACTGTGATTTAGTCTTTCGGCGATGAATTAGGGATAATGTTCAATGAGAGGTTTTATGCTCTGTTTGATGTTGGTTGAATATGGGTATAAATAATCCGCTACTATTCCATATCTGCATAAATACCTACTTTTTGGATAAGTATCCGTGGTAGGAAATTATGTTATGTCTATCTATCCTTATTCTATGATAAAAACTGTCATATAAGTGACATTAAATGTCAAAATTTTAACAGACAGGCAATCGAGACAGGCAGCCGTAAGCTAAAAAAACTGGCGAGGGCCAATATTCTCTACTTATATCGTGCTTCTCTTATAATATTTTTTAGGATAGGTCTTTTATCTAACAAAGCATTTATTTATATGTGCGCAGAAAGCTCTACCCAGTGGTATTCTAGTGTTGCTCTTACTGAAGTTTGATAGTGTCTATTTCAATTTTTTAAATGTATCTCTATTTTTTGTTTAAAGTGCTCACTATTTTTGATGATACAAATTACGACAGTGACTAAGAAATAAATAGTGAACCAACTTTACTGTATCTGTAAGATGGAGACGGAACCGGTAGGCGATCAGGGGCTCGAGCTTGATAAACCTCCAAATATTGGCCTTAAGTTATTACTGAATCACGAGTACCCCTTACAGAGTAAACAAATTATAAGACCAAGGGTCAATCAAATGTTTGAAATGATGCCCCTTTCCGCGAGGTAATTTTTCACTTAAGTAAATTAGAATCATTCTTAGTAATTTATTTAGATTGACTGAACTAAGTTTGCACATATCTTTTTATTCTGAATACAAATATATTTTGTGTTTATATGTATGTGGTATTTGGATAATTTTGTAGTAATTATTAATATCCAAAAAACTTATTAATATGAGTGTATAACTGTAACACGTATTAATGGTTTCCTGTCAAATTATTTATTAAGTTTAGTGGTATTATTTGTTTTAGGTATTTTAAGTATTATCTTGGTAAAAGGATACATAAGAAGCGTCCAATTATGGACTATATACATATGATATCAGCACAACGAATGTATGGTATGTAGTACCTATATGTGATTTTAATGTAATAAAATAAATTGTTTTGAAAAAGTTGCATAATGATATTCATTATATATATTTTTATTATCTGTTATTATCAAGGAAATTGAACTTATTAAGAATTATTGAAGAAAGAAGTATATGAAACTCTATTTCTGATTTATTACAAAAAATCTAACCATTATTTGGAGTATTTTTATTGAATGTAAAAAAATATTTATTGTAAACAATATGTATGTATATTGCATATAAAGTAGCAATTGTGACAAAATTTATATGGGACTAATTTACTAATAGAGATGTTAGATTCTATTGTTACTCCATAGGTGTATAATTTATAATATTAAAACTAATTATTATACATGGTTCATAAGTGGCACAGATATTACAGTAATATGCCCAAAAAATAAAATATAGGAAAATTGAGAACCTCTTTTATTTGATGTTGCTGAACAGTTGAATAATAGAAGAATAATTTTAAAAAAATATTTTTAATTTTTAAGAATATTTTATGTTATTAGATAATTAAAAATAGTTTCATATATAGTTTAGTTCTGTTGTTTGTTGAGAACACTCTTAGTTGTGTTATTTTTTTTACTGTTGCTACTATAATAATCTAATTTAATATAAATGATAAATACTTAAGTTAATAACTAAAACAGTTAATTAATTCTTGTAAATATTGTAAAAAAAAAATAATATTGTTGTATTTACTAATCATATCTAAGATATTTAATTTTATATTACCTGTTTATTATTATTAAATAGGTTGTCCAATTGGGGGTATTGGTGGAGGCACTATTGGCAGAGGGTTCAAAGGAGAGTTTTGCCGTTTTCAACTATATCCAGGTCTCTATGAATATGTCACAGTTCCAGAATGCCAATTCATTGTGAACATAAGAAATGCTAAAAAAGAATCTATATTCCAGTCTGTTTTGTCTACTTATGAGTGAGTATTTCTCTCATCAAAAAATATATATCCCTTATTTTTAAATTATTATTTCTATTATTATTTTATAATAAAAATAAATAAATCTTTATTCACATACTAGCTTTTACCTATGACTTTGTTCATGTTACTGGGATGTTTACTGACAATTATGAAAAGTAGCCTTTATTCTTCTTTATCCCATATTGTATATGTATACCAAATTTCATAGTGATTGTTTAAGCCTTTAAAGTGTTATATAAGTAACAAATAAAAAAAAATCACTCACATTTATAATATTAATAAATTTACAAAATATATATTATTACAATTGTTTTTATTATTTTTACAATATTTTATTTGTAATACACTATAGTAAACCAAAAAAAGCACCATCAACATGGGAGTGGAATCTTAATGCTGCAGATTGTGAATATACAGCTTTGTACCCTCAAGCATGGACTACATATGATTTGAGTAAATATGGTGTGAGGCTTGTATGTAAGCAAATTTCTCCTGTAATACCACATAACTACAAAGTAAGTATAATCTTAGAAAATTTACTTTTTATAAAAAATTGGAAAAAATAGCATTCTGATGTTATTTGAGGAACAGTGTTAAGATTTGTACTATAATATCATTTTTGTATTTATATATAGAAATCAGCCATTGTTGTTTATTAATTCTTAATATAACACTGTCTTACAAGCACACTTGTAATTTGCTTGGTTAAAAAATAATAACCTTTTTATCCGCAACTTGAGTCTGCTCAATGGTATTCCTCCATTTGTGCTTATGACGTGTGCGTTCGAGTTAGTTCTGGTTTTTATTTTTTTTCGGCTTACGTGTCATCAGGTGTAGTTTAGTAGTAAAAAGGGAGATTGTTAACTCTTAGTTAATGATAGATTCCATAACTCGAAGATTATGGAATCTATCATTGCTCCCGTACGTAGAAGAGCACCAGATGATCTGTGTCTAAAGCCGTACTGGCGGCTTTAGACAGAAACACTCGGTCAGCGATCTTTTAATTTATTTAACACACCGATGGGCAATGGCAATAGAGAGTACGGGAGAGGTGTTCGGCTGTTAATCTGGACATTGCGAAGGCCCTTGATCGGGTGTGGCTTAAAGCCAGCTATCAAAACTACCTTTATTTAAGTTGCCTGCGCGATTATGGGTCGCCAGCTTTCTCAAGAAACGAAGCATTAAGAGGCGCATGGATGACGGAACATGATTAGTTTTAAAACGTATGAATGCTGATGTTCCGCAAAGTTATGTACTATCCTCGACTCTGTTTCATTTGCATATCAATGATATGTTACAGATCAGTAATATTTATTTTTATGCGAACGATAGTACATTATATACCGGTTATGCAAACATATCCCGGGCACGTACCGTTGGGTGCCAGAATAGACTTGTGTCGGTCGAAATTTCACTCGATCAAGTTCGATCTGAGGCGAACACAATCGTGTTCAATTCAACCCTAAGAAAACACACGTCTGCGCGTTCACCACCAAAAAGACATCGTTTGTCATATTTCCTATGTTTCAAAGCAGTACCCTTGATAATAAGTCGAGTCTAGGGATCCTTGGCGTTGATATATCCAGCGATGTCCAAATTTGTGGTCATCTGAAAGAAAAAGCTAAGATAGCCTTCAACAAAGAGTGCTCAATAGAGTGAGACGGTATTTCATGCCAGAACTTTGGTTGCAGTTGTATAAAGCTCAAGGCCGCCCACATATAGAATACTATTCTCACCTATGGGCAGGAGCACCAATGTACCATATTCTTCCTTTGGACCGCATTAAAAGTCGGGGACTTCTCAAATTATTGATGATCAGCGCCTTACTATCCGAATCGACCGATTGAAACTGCGTAGAGACTTTGCATCTCTACGCATATTTTATCGAATATATCATGGGGAGTGTTTTGAAGAATCGTTCGGATACCTGTTGCTGATTTTCACCATCCGTACAACTCGCTACAAACTGAAAAATATGAGAGGTTTTCAAGGCACTTTCATCCACGCACAACCATGCTTTGGAATCAACTTCCAACAGCAGTATTTCCGAACCGATACGATATCTTAATTTTCAAGAAGAGTATATTTCTTATTAAAAGGTCGGCAGCACACCTGCAATGCCTCTGGTGTTTCGATGCCCCTGGGCGGCGGTAATCACTTATCATCAGGTGAACCACTAGCTCGTTTGCCTCGTTATAAAAAAGGGAGTATTCATGATGTGCAACTGTGATTCGTTGGCAAGTATGCATAGAAGTCTAATGGGAACGACTTATCTGGAACTACAACTATAGATATCCTAAACTGCGGGTAACATGAGGTTAATGCACGGGATCTATAAAATGATAGAATATAACAAGGAGACGCACAAAATAAAGATGGTTCGACGTGCGACAGATTGTAAGCGGATCTGAAAAGCGAATCGCAGATAAAGAAGATAGTGATAAATCAGTATTCTATCATTAAACATTGTCCCTTTTCAAGCCATGTTTATTTGGGAAAAAATGTAAAGTTTTATTGATATGAGTAGAACATCCTCTTAAAATAATGTTAAAAATTTTGACTTTGCAAATATAAATAATACAAACAAGTAAAATTTATTATTATAATTTTGATTTTATTGTAACTAGACGATGTTTGCACTTGGGGAAATATTGAAGGATAAAGAATATAAGATGTCTTATAAGGAAAGCAAAGGAAGCCAAAAAAATAATCTGCACCAAATAGAATGTGGTTATCACAATTGTATTCCTGTCTATGTCCTGTTGTATAATAGTCTAACTTAAAAACTGGCGTATGTTTTATCTTGTTATACATTTATAAGTGGTCTGTTTTATTGCCTTTCCTACTTATAAAATCCATGCAAGAAGCGGACTAAAAGCTAGTGTAAAAATAAATATTCTAATTTAATGACTTATCTATCATAGCATAACGAAAACAACTGTATCTAGAAACTTGAAATTTTGTATAATTTTATAATGGATACTCAAGTAATAAATAATATATAATCTAGGCATCCACTAAGAAAGGAAATTAAACTAATCATGGTTACAGCAGATGTAATTTTTAATTATAAAATCCGTTTTTAAGACTTATAGGCATTTATGTTAATTTATACCAAGAACATATATAATTTTTTAATAGGTGATAATAGTATGGATTTTTCCGCCTCCGCTATTGGAGCATCAGTGAGTGATGATATATGAGGATGAAAATAGATCTGTTGGTTCATCTTGTTGAATTCATCAAGAATTAATCATGTTTTTAGAGGAGACCATGTATAGGTTGATTTGAAAGAGTATATTGCTAATAATGGGACTGCTAGTCCCTGTTACTAACAATCCCCCGCTCTTCCGTTAAGAACATATTTCCCATAACCATAGTTGTTTCATTTATATATTGATATATTCCAATGTTCTACCATTTACTTTCTATATTTAGCTTAATGATTGACTGGTGGAGAATAACCATCAGGCATTAAGTTCGCCCTGTATACATATTGAAGTGTGTGTAAAAGAATAAATAAATAATATACTAATGTTTATGTGCATGATACTGAAGTAATGGAGATATATAACAAATAAATGTAAATTTTATGATTACAGGACAGTAGTTTGCCATGTGCTGTGTTTGTGTTTTCTGCAAAAAATGTTTGCGATGAACATAGAGATGTGAGTATAACATTCACATGGACTGAAGTTTTGGGAAACACCAATAAGAAAAAATCTGTAGGTTAGTTAAAGTTTAACGCTATGTTTTAGTAAGTTGCTAATTAATTTTGCTTCAGTACATCATAGTAAAAAATAAAAAAAAATATTGCCTGTTTATATGTATATTAAATGTATGGAAATTGATCTAACTAATGTAGTTATAGAAGCCATGATAACCCATAAAAAATCAGAATGTTTGAATAATAATGCAAATTACATTAATTAACTTCACTCTAGGAAGTATTAGAAACAATCGTCCATTGTAGTAAGCAATAATTAGTGTTTACGTGAATTAAACAGCTTCACTGTATTTCAGAGTATATATGCTAATTTTGATTAATAGTAATTATCACAATTTTAATACTATTTGCAAGAATCTGTAGTAAATTAGGAAGAAGATGAATAGATTTGAATATCATGAAAATGAATGGCATAAGTTTTGTTTTTACTTCATTATGTTCGTTTTATGGCTGATTGTAAATTCTAGGCTTAAGTACACTGGAATTTATTATATTTGTAATCACTTATGATAAATAAAGAACTTATGAAAATAAACAAAAACTTAATTATGTTCACTTACACATACACACGCATCCACACATGCACACACATACACACATAATAATGATACATATTTTAAATGGCAAGCAATTTGGGTTTAACAGGATTTCGAGTGGTTCCATATGCCCATGACCATTTTATGGGCCCCAAACAAATCGAGCATCTCTGTCGTAACAAAGTACATATGCTTAAGTCAATTTGCTTTTTATTCACTTTTAAAGTAATGAGTGCATGTAAAGATTTTGATAATTAATATTTAATTTGGTAATAAAAGAGAATGCACTTATTTTTTTTTAGCCAAATTAGACATGGAAAGATACTCAGAAGACTACACATGTGGTGTTACATTAGAGCAAAAGATTTTGGAAACACCATGTACATTTACGATAGCGAAAAAGAAACAAGAAAACGAAACGATCCATGAAGGTTATTGCTTGTGGAGCTCTACAAAGACATCCAGCTATGTTTGGGATTGTCTAAAAAAACACGGGAAATTAGAACCTGATCCGAATTTGACTCCACCTCCTCCTAAGGTCCCTGATAAATCGGACAAAGATAAGGATGAAAAAGAGAAAAAGGAAAAACAGAAAAAGATCTATAAATGTAATTATTTTTTTATTTTAATTTTTTAAATAAATGGTTCTGAAAGAGTAATAGTTAAGAATTTTTTTTTTTTTATTTTGCAGGTGATTCCATGGGCCTTTCTAGTGTGTTATCTTTAGATCCTGGGGGAGTAGGAGCAACGGAGTTTTGCCTTGCTTGGGATATGCCAATTATTAAATATAAAAAAGACAAAAAAGTACATAAAAGGTTTGTAATTTACTTTATGTTATTCACATAAATTCTTTAATTGAAAAAAAAAAAAAAACAAAATAAAATTAATAAATGTTGCAGGTTTTATACGAAATATTTTGGAAGCGATGGAATCGCCGGTACCAGCATAGCTGCGTATGCGCTTAGGAGTTATAAAAATTGGGAAAAACAACTCTCCGAATGGCAAGAACCTATATTCACAAATAGGTAATTAATTAATTAATTTAAGCCTAATCATATACTTTTTTAAAAGTGTTCTTATTAGCCAATTTGAAAAAAGGAGAAGTATAGCATACATAAGTTAATCAATTGGAATGATGTCGATAATATTTTTCAGTGAATTTACTTCCATGTTGGTATCATACTAATTGTTTTCACGTGTAATATTTATTATTATTATTTTTGCTGGGGTAGTTGTTACGGTAATATTTTTTTTTTTTTACTAAAACACATTGCGACTTTCTATTTCGGTGGGAAAGCTATAAAATTATTTTATAAAATATTTATGAACTATGTATATACCGGCTTACGGGCAGCTCCAAATTTAATACGATATAAAAAATTATAATACAGCATGACTTGCTGGTAATATTCGTGGTGGTTATGCGTGGTGGTAATATTCAAGTACATTTTATTTTCAGCAATATACCAGATTGGTTAAAAAGTGCCTTAATGAACGAGCTTTATTTCATCGCCGACGGCGGTACGATTTGGTTTGATGTACATGATGAGTATCCAGATACGGATCCCAGGTAGGTAACTTATAATAAATCAGTCAATCAATGGTATTCCACTGCTAGGCAAAGGCCTCCCCAACTGCTTGCATTTTATTAAAATCATTATTTCACAAAAATTTTGTTTATGCGTAATAAGATTTATTTATATGAAAATACCACTTTCAGACATTCATTTGGATTGTTTGGATATCTTGAAGGACACGAATACAGAATGTACAATACTTATGATGTACATTTCTATGCCTCATTTGCTTTAGCACAGTTGTGGCCTAATTTACAAGTTAGTATAACATTTATAAGTTTAAATGAGTCTTAACATATTTATGAGAGTATGGATACATAAACATGGTTTTAATAATGACGATAAGGAAAATTACAGTTTATTAAGTGTTCTGGTATTTCTTGGTCAGAACCATTTTTGGTTAAAAGTTAAACTAACTATAATTGCCAAAGTAATAATAATAAGTTGACAACAAAGGATACCAATAGTAGGTGTTATTCCTAGTTTTTGTAATATTTTTTAAGCTGGCAACAGTTCAGAAAAATATGTGAATGATTGGAAGGCGAAAACAATATAATTAGATACATTTTATTCAACAATAATACTATTTATATTATAGTTAAATCCTTCAAAATTTTAAATATTTGTTTTTATATATAGTGGTAATATCAGAAATAATAAATTGGATTATTAATTTAGGTTGTACTACAGTACATGTTCCGTGATACTATAACACAAGAAAGTGAGAAAAGTAGACAGTCACTTTATGACGGTAAATCAGTAAAATTCAAGATTAAGGATTCTATTCCCCATGATTTGGGCGATCCAGGTAACAATTTATATTTTTTAAATTATTTTTTTGATTGAATAACTGTTCTCTATATAATAATGTTATAAGAGTCATATAGTAATGTCGTCAGTTGTTAAAGATGGCATTTGAAACAGAAAAGTAAGTATAGAGAATTAAAGTTTGTGTCAATGAGACTTAATTAAAAGTTAAATGAAGTGCCATAAAGAGTAAATTAATAAACAACCGTGTATTACGGAGCAGTGAACTGTGATGAGATCGTAAAATGATGTAGATGCGGATTTTAGTAGACCAAAATGTATTAACAGCGAGCAAGGAACCGAATCTGTCAAAAAATATAAAATTGAAATTATAAATAAGAACATTCTAAAAATAAATGTGTATAAAAAAGTATAATAATACCTAGAGTTTGCATCGGCCGGTCGTCAATACCATATTTTTTGAGATTATCAGAGAAACACATTCTAATTTATGTTGGTAACAAATCGAAACATTCAGTCAATAAATTTATTTTTTGCTATTTATCTATTTTTTATTGGACATCAGTAGAATATTACGAGTATTTGGTTGGATCAATTATTCGTTAAGTCAAATTTTTGTCGAAACAGACTGTACTTACTGTACTTTTTTTCTATTAACAGAGGATTCGCCGTTTTCGAATATAAACGCGTACAATATCCACGATGTGAGCGAATGGCGGGACCTGAACCTCAAGTTCATCCTGCAAGTGATGCGTGACTACCGCCTGCTGCGAGGCCACACGGCGCCGTTCGCGAGCGAAAGGTACCGCTCGATGGCGTACATAGACGACGTTAGAGACGGCACCGAGGACGATCTGTACTCGCGCTCCACCGGGCAGGCGGACGACTCGGAGCCGTCAGAGGGCGCTACCACCGCCACCGAGGGCAGCCCGGGGCAGGAGGCGCGGCCGTACGCCGTGGGGGACATACTCGACCTGTTGTACAGGAGCGCGGAACCGGAGGCCGAGGGCTCCAGCCTGGAGCCGCGGCCGGAGCCCCGCGAGCCGCCGGCCGCCGTGTGGGACGCGGCGCGCTACCTCGCCGACATGTTTCCCTCGTGCGTGGCGCTGCTACGCCGCGCCCGCCACTGGGACCGCGACGGCGACGGCCTCATAGAAAACGGCGGCTTCCCTGACCAGACGTACGACGCCTGGGTTATGTTGGGCCCGAGGTACTTACCATATTTATTTTATCCTATTTTCTCTCGTAACTTATATGTCAAAGCAGTTTGCCATACGGACGCAGTTTGCCACTCGATGCAGTGTCACGCCGTTTTATACAAAAACTCGACGGTTTATACTCGCTTTGTATTCGTTTGTATTACTCTATAACTAATCCGTAGAATTTTAACATTCCTACAACAGCCGTTTCCAAGGACCAGAGGAGTTAGACCTAAAGAGCCAATCCTCGTTTCCGTATTCCTTCAATTTTGAAAAGTGCTATGGTGTGTTTATACTAAAAAAAAATATAGAGAATTATTGAGCAATTTTATACGTATTTCTGTGTAGGTGGTTCTATGTTCTAACCATCGTTTCTTTTAATCGATCTCTAGTTTTAGATATAGCCTTAGGTTTAGGTTAGCTGTGAGCAAGCGATTCAGTATATCTGTAGAAAATAGCGGCGAGATCTGAGGCGAGGATATACGACGATATCAAAAATTTCACTTGGGTAGTGTGGTAATTACCAATAAGTATTTTGTAATAGTGATTATTTAGATATTATCTATAAATATTACAAAATATTTCCATAATTATTGGATGATATCAATTAATATTAATATAATTACTACGCCGTTATATTTTATATGATTACGATAAAAATGCTTTGTACAGTGTTTCCTGTGACTTCCCGATAAATTCAAAATGACACCATTTACCATTTACACTCGTAGTTTGCAATAAAGATACAATACAAATTTCCGTAATTATCAATTTTCTTCAGAGTCTACTAACATTAAGATCTGTTACGATTGGAAGTCGATCGGTAAGGATCCTTCTTATTATACCAGTACTATTATCTATACCAATTGACAAATCGGTCATTTGAATCCATGTGAAGACAAATTGAAGCTATTCATCGGCTCCACGGGTCGTGAATTTAATCATAATACTCATATACTGCTTACCATTTAAAACGAAATATACGAACGTTTGTAAAGTAAGGTCATCAACTATTCTCATAAAATTATCACAAGTAGGTATCCTATTATACTGTTACTAGCTGTATGTGTATATGTAGGTTTGACACTGTGAATTAGGACAAAAGTATCCTGTGTGCTAATCTAGGGTGTTTAAAGGTAACTTAATAACAACCATCTCAATATCCTTGCAAAGTTTCTTATTATTTATTATTTATATTATAATAATAACTGGCTATATCCCACCACTTTGTCCGCGTGAATCACTACATAAAGTATCCTAAATGTTAAGTTAGAATTTAATCTACCTGTGTTTCAAATTTGAATTCAAATCTCTACAGTAGTTTTTATGTGAAAAAGTAACAAACATTCATCCATCCATTCTTACAAACTTTCGCATTTATAATATTACTCAGTTTGATATTTTTTATGCCCACCTGAAGAAAAATATACCATGGATACACAGAATACACTTATATGGACATGAGTGTAACTCTAAAACATTGTCATTCCTGACGATTGAGTTATTATATCATATACTATAATTTGCTTGCAAACTAAAATACAGCCATGTAAGCAGTTGCTTTAGCACCAGAAATAAGAATGTGACAGGGAGATATCTCTGTCAGCAGAAGAGTTTTGTACAAAGTCCCCCTATAATAAAATGTTGTAACATTTTGTTTTTCTCTTTTTAGTGCTTATTGTGGGGGTTTGTGGGTATCGTCAGTGAGCGTGGTGCGTGCCATGGCTCGTATCCTCGGCCATGAAGCAGAAGAACGTGAGTTTTCCAAGCTACTCGAACAAGCGCAAAACTCATTTGAGAACAAACTGTGGAATGGATCGTACTACCGATTCGACACGTGCCCCGCGAACAGTCGCGTGGTGATGGCTGATCAACTTGCTGGACATTGGTAATTTACTGTAATACGTTTTATAATTTGTGTGTAATTGTTTATTCGCCATGTGGTCCCGGCCTATTCTATAATAGGCCACCCCCTCCTTTCCCGTGGGTGTCGTAAGAGGTGATTAAGGGAATTTAAAGGTTGAGAGTTGGGCAATAGCATCACTCTTTAAACATCACTAAAGCCAAACTGCGGTGGGCAGTCCGTCTGCTAAGTTTGGCAACTACTGGCAATACCTCCCAAAAGGGGAGGTCTGTGTTCAGTAGTGGCAGATAAAGGCTGATATGATGATGATAATGATTATACATAATTGTTCCCACAATAAAAATAAACTTTGTATGTGCTTCTCCATTCCATCCCAATGCACCAGCAACCTTCCTAGTGTGTGTTGCTAGTGTTTATAGGTGGCAATAGTTACTTTCCATCAGGTGGACCGGCAATCTATTTGCTTCGCTACCTATAAAAATAAAAACTACTACAAGCATGCCAAATTTCGTGACGATTGGTTGAACAACTTGAAAAAATGTTTAATTGGTTGAATCGTTAAAAAACTTCACTGGCATCAGTCCAAGTCAACTAGAAAAACTGTAATTATTAGTAATTTTAAATTTATTACGACGGTTTGTCGTTCCGTATATTAATAATCTTAAAATTTAACGTTTTATACCACTGAGATAGCAAACAAGCATACGGCTCACCTGATGGTAAGCTGTAACCGTAGCCTATGAACACCTGCAATACCAGGGGCATTACGCATGCATTTACAAACTTGAAGAAACCTCTGTACCCTTTTTTTTGAAGAATCCGATGCTGTAGTCTCTTGGAAAAATCTCGAGCTGGATAAAACTCCTGAGCTCGAGAGAGCTCATTCTGAACGTTCGTTATATATACATATATTGGTGTTGTCTAAACGTGCAAAAATATACTAGGGACTCTAGTATACTGGTTGCTGTAGAGTAGTAATTAGCTATGCAGCCAGCAGTATTTCACATCAAAGCGTAATCCATGGCGATGCATGATGATCAACGAGTCAACATTCATAAGATTGTTCAATGTTTATGTCATTTGACATTGGTTGGTATCACTTAACTATTGTAAATAGACATGAAAGGTTGGCTGTTAGTTTGTCATTCTGTAAGATAAAATTTAAAAAAATACAAGGAAAATTTAAAAGTGATTATATTTTCAAGGTTTCTACGCGCCTCTGGCTGGACAGAAGATGTGTTCCCTGATGCTAACGTGAAGAAAGCTCTGTCTACTATATATGACAACAACGTACTAAAGTTCAAAGAGGGCCGCATGGGCGCCGTGAACGGTTACGTGACCGGTGCCCGCGGACACGTGGATACTACCGCGCTGCAAAGCGAGGAGATGTGGACCGGAGTTACTTACGGACTGGCCGCACTCATGATATACGAAGGTATTTATATATATATGCTTTTTATTTTATAAACTATTAGCTAGCCCGGAAAACATTTTTACCCCTACCCGGTACTGGACTCGATACCGACCCGGACCATTTCTTTTATCAGTATAAAACTATTACAAGTGTCAAGTTGAAGTAAACAATATGAGCTTTCAAAATTTATTTAAATTCGATCGTGTAGTTTTGTAGATAAGCGTGAACAAACATTGGGACATAGGATTTTTATGTATTAAAATTGTTTATTAAAATTTATATAGTTTTTGTTCGTCATTAAATTTTAAATGAATTTTGCATTTTCGTATTCTTTTTATTCAAAATCCATCATGATTGTACTGATTGTTTTATTATGTCAATGTATTTATTATGTCAACAATGACGCATCTTTATTGTTGTAAAGAAATAGCAAAGACACATCTTTTGGTCGGTTTGGATGTATGATATTTTTTTATACATAGAGATTTGCCTAGAAACTAAAACTAACTGCACAAGAATCAAGAAGTATATAATAAACTGTTCATTAACAAGAATATAGAGAAGTAATATTTTTATTATTTTACCTAGTTTTCTTATAAGTAACAAAATTGTACTCGGACCAGAAAGCCAATCAAATAAGATTATAGAATACAATATTTCCTATATATTTCATAATCTGCATCACATCCATTTTGATTACTTGGGAGAATTCACGAGCAGCTTTGAATTACTTTATTACCTTCCTATCGACGCCTATATTGTAACCATCCTAATGGATTTACAATTTGTACATACTGAGAATGTCATTACGTGATTCTCATAATATCTATCATCTTTTGAAATAAAATTTCAATGGATTGATTTATTTTATCTCATTTTTCGCAATTCTGTAATTCCATATACTTTTATATTCTTTTATTTTCTATATTATTCAGATAAACAATCCAATTTAATAATATGTAAGACTTCTGCTGATTTATATGTTTAGAGAATTTTATCCTGTTTCTAGAATTACTTTAAATCGTTATAAAAAGTAAATTTTTTTCAGGCATGCACGAGGAAGCATTCGTAACAGCTGGCGGTCTACATAAAACATTAACTCAAATGGGCTTATCCTTTGAAACCCCGGAGGCTCTCTATGAAAATGGGAATCATCGGTCTATAGCGTATATGCGTCCTCTAGCTATTTGGGCCATGTATCAGGCCATTTTAGCGAGACCACCCCAGCATTTGCCAGTAGCTAATGGACAAGTTCGTAACACCAAAGAAAACACCTTATAGTAATAAATACGTAATTATAATTTTTATGGTGACTATTAAAGAAAATTAAAGATTTTTCTGCATAGGAAAAATCTATTTTATGTTGTATGATCCTAATTTTAATACGCAGCTTTTGCGAAATATTGCTTCGACTAACTGAAATTGTTGCGTGTATTTATGTCTTCATCCAATATAAGAATGTAAACATTGGATTTGATTTTGATACTAGACAAAATTTTAAAATATTATTATGGAAATGATTAATACGTAACATAAATTTTGTAAAATCGTTATATGTACCTAACAATAATGTTGTTTGATATGGTGACTGTATTTGTTCTGTAAGAGCAATAGTAACACCAATGAATGGGGGAAAATATTGAATGCAAAGTGATACTAATTAATATCCATTACATACTGCTGCTTAAAAATAATTCTAGAATCACTATTTACAGACAGAATCCAATCCTTTATATCCTTTCTATTCTTTTATTTTTCTTTAGCCGGCTAGATTTTCCAATTTGTAAATAATTATGGTACATTCTCGGTATTATGATTAGAACAGCTGTTATAAACAGAATTAATTGAATCGGAGAGTACATTTTTTTCCTAAAATCTACAAAATAAATATTGAGCTGTGAAAAATAAAAGAATAGAAGGGTTAAAAAAATTTTTGACGTTATTTTTGAAGAATCTAATGTTGCCAAACATGACTGGGTTATATAATCAAAGATGTATGCTCTTTCTGGTTTGTTTTGTATCTAATCTGAGATAATGCCTGATTGCAAAAAAAAAAGTAACTACGTCAATGGTTCATGTATTCATATAAAAACTAACAAAATTATTCTAACAAGTTTGCGTCTGATCTAGTTTTTATTTTTACTGATGATATATTTTGTAAACAATCTTGGATCGACTTTTTATCATAATTGTCATTTAAAAAATAATATACAAAATAATAATTAAAACCTTAATTTTAGTGATTTGTTCATTTTATGCGCTGTTTTATAGATATATAAAAAACACGTCAAACTGGTTACTATATTCTGCACGCTGTAGCATGGTGCGGGTGACAGCTGACATTTTTGGCAGTTATAGGTGTAAAAGAGCTGTGAGATTTTTAGTGTAAATTTTTTACGTGCGCAATACCGCGTGCGTTTTAAAATTGTACACGCGCGAACTTACTAATATGTTAACAGCTTACTGGGCCTCGCTAGGCAAAGACCGCGCAGAATGAACTGGATGGCATGAGAAATAAGAAGACCGTTGGACTTAGTTCATCCCAATGACCAGCACATTTTCATGTCCGGCGTGTTAAACGACCGGAGAGTGGCAAATTGCCCCGTGTTGTTTGCAACCGACCAAAGTTTCCCTTCCTTTCCACCTTTTCATCCCTTCAAGAGGATGTGAGATGACACGGAGTAATTAGAGTCAAAATCATACTATCATATTTGATTCTTTGACATAAGCAAACGTTTCTTTGATTTGTCATTCGTACCATGCAATATCGTGCAAATAATATGCCAGAGTGTATCTCATGTGAAAAAGGCTGTAACGGGTAAGTTCTACAGCGATAAAATTATTTTCCATCTGTCGGTCTCGTTCATAAAGATAATAATAGAAATAAATTGTATACTTTTGTGAAATTCTGTCCACAGAGACAATATTTTTTCATTAAATATTTATAGTTATAATTTCTGACCTCAATATTTCAGGTCATTTTATTATTGGCCATTAAAATTATTATAAGAATATACATTGTGATATTTCTTGCTAGCGGAAAGAAAAAAAAATATGCAATTTTTTTACATTATGCATTTATATTTTTTCTCTTTTTTACCTAAGTATTAATTGTTGTACCAATGAAATTGTAACGAAAGTATTGTTAAGTTACTACTTATGGTTCTTTTTATTGAATTGTTTAATTATGTTTAATTTAAATATTAAATTGTGTGTAATTGTTATATAAATTTACAAAAACGTGGTCAAACCATATGTGTTACCCTGTATATATATGTTGTGATTTTAAATGTAGTATTTTATTTTAACCGCAAGGGATTAATTAGATGCCAAATGAAGTCATTTTTATTCTTATCATTTATTTTCAAATATGTAGTACATATAAATGCATTTTGGAACACGTTAATATAAAAATATGAAAAATCATTCTAGTATTTTCTTTTCATCCTAAAATTCCTGCGTACTGCTAAATTAAAATAAACATATAACATTATTCTATCTGAGTATATTTTGTACTATTTTATAATTAAAATTAAATACGTATTTCGTGACATAGTTATAAAATAAAAATAAATAGAAAATGTATGGCTATCTGTATATACAAAATTTACATCAAATGTACGTATCTTTCAGTCTTCATTCGTTGTCCATACATGGATATTACTAAGAAGCCCCTTAATGCGAGCTAATCCATTATCTTCCACTTAACAAAGCTTTACAATGTAATAAAAATATATGGTGTCATATTAAATAAATTGTGGTTTTATAAATATATGGATACAAAATTCAACTTTGTGCAGTAATGCTTCTATACGCCGGCTATTCATAGGCATTATTTATTGATTATCTCGCACCTGCGCGGAGCATTACGTGCTCTGTTTTATAATCTCTGATTTAGCTGTGTACACGTTGCATAATTTGCAAATAATTTAGATTATTTTAATTTATTTTATGTACAGTAGGCGAAAGATGTCGGTTTGTACGATTTTATGAAATCAAATAAATGTTGATCCAGTTGCCATTTCGATCCAGTTTTATTATTTTCTCACAAGATACACACTAATAAATTCGATGTACTAATCAATTACCTATATAAGCTGACATTATTCTGCTGTATATTTATTTTAAAAGGTACATCAACAATGTACATACTAACATTAATTTTAATTGATATACAGGGCTTGCATCTTGCATTTACACCAATTACAGATGTACACAACATTTTCTTAAATCCTCGATTACATATTAACAAAACTGACATCGCTGCCGTTGGTATTTATTTATAATTTAAACGGTATGTACGACATTCCTATTCAAACTATAGTGAAGAGAGTATCTACAAATTATAGCCATATTTTTTAAAACCAATTATTGATAGGTAAAATGCCTGCACATCACTAACATTGTATTGGCAACAAACATACGAGTACGTATTATAAATTATGGAGCGCCTATGGTATGAAAGAAATATGTGATACAATGGCTTTCAGATTACAACAATCATCTCTCGTCCTTAAATTACTTCTCTTTACACTCGATTGCAAATCTCATTTAGGGTAAGTTCAGACCGATGAGAAGACCACAAAGAAATTAATTTGTTTTCATTAGAAAACTGTCTTTAGCTACATAACTGATAGTAAATTACCAATAACTTCTAGCTAACATGGACAATATTTCACAGGAGCCCGAGAATTTATACAGCATTTAGAATTAAAATGTGTACAACAATTTTGTAAAAGTCAGAATGTATCGGTTATACGTCTTTATAGCATACGGCTGAAATTAGTACGACAAGAAATCACCAAAATTCGCACGCGGCGGCTCTGAGTCATTGTTCAATGTTTTTCAACCGATTTACTGCTCCCCGTCGCTATTCAGTCGGTGTGCACTGACCCTTATGGGGGTGATTATGTTTGGCCAGCAGATATATTCATATACATGTGAGCGCCGTCCCGGTCGTCGCAGCGGGCGGACGCGGCTGCGGCTCGGTCGCGCGCCGCAAAGTTCATGCGCAAGTGCGTGCCGTTGTGCGCGTCGTCGCAGTCCAGACGTTCGCGGGACGCAGATGCCTCGCGCTCCACGATCGTCGCCATATGTTGAGCCCTTAACAATTAGAACATTGTTATCGATCCGCTTGCAGTTATGCAACTATACATAATATCTATACGAGTCGTATAAGATAATACACATATATCTTGGGGGGGAAAGGGATTGTTAGTAATTAGATCTAGCAGCTCCATTGCTAGCATATGCCCTATTAGGTCGACCTCCACGTGGTTCCCACTGGAAACCATCGTGAACATTTTTTGTTGAATTCGACATGATGGGCTAACTGATCTGCTTCATCCTCACCTATCATCCTTCACTGGTGCCCCGCCGGTGTATACCGATAGCGCGGGTGGGGTTACCATTCCATTATCACCCATAAACAAAAAAAATATACATACACCTATATATATTTATAATACATGATATATCTTACATAGGTAATTATAACAGACATTCTTAATAAAACAGGAATTTTTTAAAATAAAAATATGGAATCAATAGGAGAGTTAATCTAACTATTGCAAACAGAATAATCAAAATCGGTACAGTACTAGCAAACATTTAATTACATACACTACTTACACTGTTTTCCAGTACAGGGTCGCTACTCAAGAATTCACTCAAAATCCAAAAAGTCATAGTGTTCATAAATCTGAACATCAGACCCCGTGCAACATGGGTCGAATAATGAAAGTACATTTAGAACTTAGATAAAAAACACGAGGTTGCGTATTTTTTGCTCATATCCATTTCATATTTGGAAAAAATTGGCCGGTTTCGTAAATAGATAGGTATATCTAAGTAGGAAAACCAAGCAGTAGACATACTCAGAGCGGCAAAAATTAGGGGTGGCGAACATTTTTATCCAAGACAAAATAATATTTTTTTATCTACGATAAAATTACTTGATCGGGTAATGTTCTCTATGCATTAGGGCAAGGTCAAAGTAAATTCTTTTTGCTAGTTTTGTTAATTTTAGTATTCATATCTAATGTACCTATTATCGTGTTTAGGATGTCCAAAAGTAGTAAACTGCGGGCAGCCGTTAAGGGGCCGAGGCGGTGGCGGTATCAAATAATCGTCAAGACGGCTCTCTATATCGCACGCTGAGTGCATGGTGAGCGTACTTGATGATGAAATCTGCAAAGAAATAAACCTTAAGTAACACTACTTATCAAGAACAAAGTTTTGCTATAAAAGTACTTATAGTGTACCACAGATATTGTTATATATGTATTTTATTAGATGTCTCAATTATATGTAGGTAACTACTTAACATATTGTTTTTCGCTTAATGCCCTAAGTAAACTTAAAAAAGCCAATACATTCTTGGACAGGGACTTAATTTCAATTTAGAGTTCCTCTCTAAACTTCTTAACGAGAAAAGTTTAGAAGATTAATAAAAACAGTATTTTTGAACTTTATAGGTAAGTACTTATCTACTTGCACTTCCTATTTTCATTCTTTGTTATTTGTGTATTGTCTATATTATTATCATTGATTCTAGTAAATAATGGCTACTTACTTATAATTGGATAAATATTGATAAATATTATAACTTACAATAGATCTTGCTTTATCGTCATTTTCCGATTGGACGCTATTAGTCTCGGCCACGCTGCCTCCACTAACTGTGCTAAGACGACCCGACGACGAAGAACCTATTGCAAATAATATAAATTAAAATTATTTCCACTTCTTTGAACGGAAATTTAATAATGTACTTCATTATGGAAACAAATGATAAATATATTTTATCTTTTGTAGTAAATTTATCTTTCATAGTAAACTCACTTTCACTTAGGCTGCTATTTGGTCGGGTATTTCCATTTCTTTTTTCAATTGTTCCATTACTTTGTTCGTTATGATCTGTAAATAATATAATTATATAACTAAAAAGAACCTACATTTTACTAAAATTATATGTATTTGTTAAAAAATTCGATAAATTTAATATTTCACTTTTATTGTATTTTATCTAGGTATATCGATAAACACTCACTTTTATTCTTGTTTTTCGAAAACATCTTTTTTACTCTTTCAAATGGCGTTGGTCTTTTCATGTTGTCCTTTATTTTCTGTTGAATTTTGTCATATTCCTCGCGCATCTTGTTCAATTGCTCTTGTTTTTCCTTGAGAGATTGTTGAGTTTCATTCCTATTTCTCCATTCCATGACTAATTTTTCTACTTCAGATATAGTAAATACGTTATTTTTGAAATCATTAATAATTTCAGCTAATTCTTCTTGTCCAGTCAAAGGACAACTTTCCTTTCCAGACTTCACGCTACCACTGTTACGTGCATCTTTGGTATTCAAGGTAATTTGGCTTATATCACTAGTGGGAGTTTCAATATTGAAAGTCTTTGATTCTTCGGTGGGTGAATATAAAAATATATCGTTTTGTTGAGGCATTAGACGAGAACTGTTCGCATATAAATTGTTAGGTCTGAATTTTGGACTTTCTACTTTTATATTTGAAGGTTGCACTAAATAATCGTGTTCGATCGCTTGCTGTATCCTATCTACTGTGTCGTCAATTAACGGAAAATCATTTTGGTAAAATTGTTCTTTTACTTTTGGTAATTTCAAAGTAGGTCGTTTCTTTTCGTCTTTGGGTTTCTCGCTATTTTCTTCTAAGCTTTGAGTGCATTCTTCACTAAACGGATCAGTGGAGTGCTCTGCAACAGTCTGTTCAGAAGTATCACAAGTGGGAGAGTCAACAGTATCTTCGGATTCAACAATACGAAGTTCTTTGGTATCATCTTGATTTTCTTCTTTGTCATTATCCGACATGTTCTTCAAGTAGTAATACATATTAGAAAACTCATTTATTTTCTGCAACAAAAATATTAGATTTAGCTTACGATTTGTTGATTAAAATTCCTTTTTAGTCTTTACAGCTCTCTAAGTATTCTATTTAAAATATTTGTAGAACTTACTAGATGATCTGCAAGCATGTCAGCAAGGCGGTAATGTTTGTGATCTCGTGCAAGATCAGCAGGGGTGCGATGGCGTACATTTCGCAGCGCGACTGCGGCTCCACCGCCCGGGCATTCCACTAGTTGCCAGCAAACACGCTCCAGGCCGAACCGTGCAGCCCAGTGCAGCAACGTCGGATATTCTTCACCGCCTTTATGGGTAAACCATTTAAATCACAGTCATATCTAAACGAAATATATATGTATTGCTGGATGTTTAATAAGCGAATACTTACTAGAGACATCTGATTTAGGGTTGAACTGTTCGTTAGATGCCAGCAGATTGAAATGTGGTGGGATATTCTTTTGGAAGGCATTCAACATCCAACTATCCAGTTGCTCCTTGCTGGTTGTTTTGAAGCCGAGTGTCTACAATGTTACCAAATACATAAATAGATAATTTGCAATTAAATATGCACTGATCATGATCAGTAACAGAAGCTTGTACTTTAGCAATTACACAACATAGTGATCAACAAAATAGTGATGTTTATTTGCCGATCATGTTAACTGTGAGTTTGGTATCTAGTAGGTTAGGGAACAAACGTTTATTAATAACGGTTTCTATCTTAATTAGTTTATCGGAAATTTTCCGCGCTTAGTCTCGTAGGTCATTGTAAGTAAACAGTAGGCATATAAATATAATGCTACCATTTTTGGAACAACATACAGCCATAAATCAAACGAAGGACTGCCCGAGTCATTGAATTTATGTACTTACACATAGTATAAAAGTATATAGAGAGATATTGTTGTCCCGATTAATACTTCTGCTGATAACACAATAAATAAATGAAATTACATTAATTCTTTGTTTTTTTTTATTATTGGAAAAATATTATTATTTTTCAATAGAAAAATCAATCATTTTAAATATTTTTTTATCAAAATAGTTTTGTCTTATTTGGGATCGTAAGCTCACCTGACACATAAACTCCAATGGATGATCAGATGCTCGAAGTAACTGATCCAGCTCACGCAGACGGCTCTCGCATTTGATCTGTCTACGGCCCAGTGGTTGTCCATTTTTACTCACGCGCACCCACACCAACATCGATACTTCTAAACATGATTCTGTATGTACAAAAAAAGAAGCTTTTTAGTTATGTAGTGTATTTTACTTAGTTAATTTCCTTGAGATATATGAATATACAGATATCTTTTCCTTGGAACAGACTTGTGCTTGAAGAATAATGAGTTGATAGGATATGTATTTTAAAATAATTTGCAATTAAATATATATTTATTTATATATTTAATTGATTTTAAAGCCTAAAAATAAAACAAAAGTCATCTATACGTACTATAGTTTTAAAAACAATCAAGTAATTACATTAGTTATTAAGGTTATCCTTTATTATTGTGTATGCAAGTTACTCGTGAGTCAATGTTAACCCTCAAACTAATAAAATATTTTAATAACAATGAGTCTTACTATCCTTTTTCAATTGTTTCGTTTGTTATAAAGCGTCATCAATAACACAATCGAATTTACGTCAATGAAACATTTGTCATGGATGTTTGATATTTTTATTAATATAACTTGTTCCTAATAACAAGCACCTATTTTTATACTTAAACAATTTTAACATTGTTTTTTTTATTTTTATAGATATCTATGACTGTCCCATTAGGGATGATAGTTGTGAGGATATTAAATTATATTATATAACACTTATTTTGTAACAAGTATACCCGAACATATTTTGCTAATATATATATATATATATATATATATATATATATATATATATATATAATAACGTTTAATATATATATATATATATATATATATATATATATATATATATATATATATATATATAATAACGTTCTGCTAATATATCATCAATACGTGTGATGTTCTGTTTCGTTGATGGTAAGAATTAAAATAAACAAATAAAGCATATTATTAACCTTAATCGTATGGGAAAATTTTTATTACGATCCGAAGAATCCAAGATTACATCCTACTCATATTGAATTTTATAATGGATTCATTTAGAAAAGATTACCTTTACATGTGCACATAGCTGTCGTTTATCTAATATGGTCAAAACATTTTTAATGTACTTAAGTGACATTTAATGAGCAATGCTCCAAGATGTCACAGTCACTATAGATTTGTTCTACTATTAATACATAGCTATGTAACAGGCCATACAAGCAGCGAAAACGGCCTAAGTACTAGAAGAAAGTCGTAATATCATAATAATGTTTTTTTCTTACCATTCTAACTCCATTGACAGCAGAAAACTGTTAAGCTTATTTACGAATTTAAATGGTATAAAAAATAATTAATGATATTTTACCTGGTATGTCGAATTGCAGAGTGTATGGGTTTCTCTTTTTAAAAGTAGGTATTTGTATGACCTCGCCCTTCTTGTCGACCATTATCTTAATGCTGTCCTCTTCCCTAATGGGGTCGTTGAGGAGCGCTATCACTCGACTTTGGCCCTGTGTACAAATTGCGATAATTATCAAGCCGCCTAATGAATTGTTTTGGTCAACCGAACTTTTGTGTTTTGTATTCAATGTATGACAATCATGTATTGTATGTTTTCATATACGTAAAATACTAATCTCATTATTTACGTTCGTGTAACTTTATCTTTAGGCTTTTGCTGAAAAGTACCTAGTATTTTCAGTCATTGTATTATATTTATCACCCATTTGATATGAAGGTTGAAAACCGGTTACTTATTTTATTTTCTTTATTACTTAGCTACATTTATATTTATAAATAAAACGTCTCAGTTGATACAAATAAAGAGTTTATCAATACAGTATAAAGAAATAAATACAAACAAAACAATTGTGCCAGAATAGTCTCTATTTACTAATAAATTCTTAAGTGAATAGTTTCCGGTGGAATATTTTGTAAGAATTTTTCTTTTATTTATTATAATATATTAGGAAGAAATAACTATCGAATGACTCATTATCGTTGAGTAAAAACTGTGATGTTTTAATTCGTAATGATAAATAAAAAAAAATATATTGACTGTAAGTAAATAAATAGCGGCTCTTCAATAGTCACAAATATAGGATCACGACGTGAGTAAACCCTATTGATTGCAAAAAAGACTAAATCAGTTCAGAATTTCAGTGGTGAAGATATCAGGATGATAAACATATACAGAAAAATATTGGCGATTCGAGAACGAGTCTGGTAAATTTAAGGATATGAACGATATTCAAAATATGGCACCAGGAATCTAATAAAGTTCCGTACCAATTTATTTATTTTGAATTGTTTCATAAGTAAAGATTCTTGAATAGGATACAGTTACAGTTAGATTACAGTTTAAAAAAAATATTTTAAATCATATATTACTTACTATTTTGACTTTCTTCGGAACTATGGAGAAGCTGGTTTTATCGGTGGCGGTGTCCTTACAGTCCTTCGTTCTCAATATGCCGACAGCGGCCGTCAGGAATGTGTCTACGAACGTCGTATCCTTCTCTCTCACACACATCATTTGCCATTGGTCAATGTTTGGATATTCTATAATAATTCACAAACTTATTATATTTTTAGATTTAATAAGAAATCGGATCCATGTTCGCGTAAATTAAGAAAAAAAAAATTAAAAATACTAAGTGTTAATCCAGGAACTAGATATATGAATTATTATACATTTATATATGAATTCGGGAATTGGTACATTTTCACAAAATCTTCATAATAGGAATTGCTACGTAAGATTGTATAATTAACAACTTTGATCATATTGGATGCATATCCTGTCACAATAATGTATGTAGTTTAATATTGATAAGGGCGTTTGATCTTGATATTTCTTATTACAAACTATTTTCTAATTTATTTATTATTAAAATTAAAATTATTATTAGTGTATTCAAATTAACAGAATCTAATAAGTATGAATGTAGATATTAATAAAATTGAGTTACCATCACTATTATTGGCCAGAACATGATTTTTATCCACCCCCAACAGCATTACTAAGAGTTTGTCAACCTTGAACATGTTCTCACAATTGGTCTCGACTTTCAAATCAGTCATCTTGCTGGCGAGATTGGGGCAAAGGATCAATATTTGCAGTTGTGCTTTTGACAGTCTTTCTAGTTTATCCTGGGCATCTCCCGACATCAGCTCTTCTGCTGTGATAGGCGTTACTCTAAAATAAAAAAAAAAAAACGTAAAAATAAGTAATAACCATAATATTATATAAATCCTACTTTATTATCTTCTTGTTATTAATATAATAAATTTTTCTGCACATGGAAGATATTTTAAAAAAGATGTAAAGAGTTTTAACAGAAGTCAAAACAATAATTTTTAGAAGTCTTGTCTGTCTCTTTGTCTGTATGTTTGTTCCGGCATCACACAAAAACTACACCTTCAAATTGAATGCGGTTTTCACTGCTGTGTTCCTAAAGGTCTAACTTTAAAATTGGTGTACGCTACTGTTTTATTAAGCTTTCTAGAAGTGGTCTATTTCATTGGTTTTCCTACGTTTGAAATACACGTGTACAAAAAGCGGGTAAAAAATTAGTTTATTTATAAAATTTGTAATTATGCTCACGGCTGTAATCCATTTTATAGTGTAGTCAAAGGAATACGTCGCCTGTTATCGTTGTGAGGAAAGTAACATTTGATAAACCCACATTTCACATATTAGAATCCAAAGTGTCAGGGAACGATACTATCATGGTCACTGGATTAATGTGGTTTAAATTTTACATTCAAAAGTTCCAACTTTACCTGTAATGGTGTCTGGCTCTTTGTGACATTATTTTGTCGAAGCTAGCGACGAGGTAGTCAGACCATAAGGCACTCTCTGGGGAGCCTGAGCTCCACAATATTGCTATGTCTTCCATTTCTGTAACAACGTATAAAGGTATTAATCGTTTCATTTAAAAATTGAATATAATTCATAAAAACTAAATTGTCATTTAATTTAAAAATAAAATTTAGTTATTATACTTAAGATAGATAGATATTACGAACCATAAATGAAAAATATAGACAAAACTTTGACTGTGCCGAGTTTTGTACGTACTTAATAAATTTAAGAATCGACAATAAGTTTATTGAAACATACTTCTGTCTATACAGACAACGAACTCGAATAAAATATGTCTAACCTTAAAAGGATGTGTTGTCAAGGGATAATCAACGCATGAACGATGTCGTTCACATAATATCAGATAAGGTCATTGCTTGGATCGAAGTTCACAGATCACGCCAAGCGCATCATAAAACGTTACATACTGCAGAGTCCAGATGCCGTAAAATTTTATCATATTTATCATTTTATATTTGACATCACAATCACTAGAACAAACTTAGACCCGGAATGCTTCATACTGTGTTGGAGAAATTCCAGGTTATAATCGTTTTTAAAAACATATCTTTCATTCCTACAGATTTATTTAGAAAAAGTTGTTAATCACCGCTACAACTACGCAATCTAAATTTGTAATAGCCAATTCGTAGTGCAATTGGAATTGTTTACATTTTAAATTTAAATCAACAATCCTATTCAATATGACTACCTATATATATAAACAAACGTTCTAGCCCTACTTCGCACGAGAAGATAGAATATAAATTAAATGATATGCCTATGTTACTCGCTGATAATTTAGCTTTCTAGAGTTAAAGGAATTTTAAACATTAGTTGATTAGTTTTTAATTTATCCATTACAAACAAAAAACCAAATCTTTCCTCATTATAATACAGATATAGAATAATACATACACATTTTAGCTGCTGTTTTTAGTGGACAGTGAAATAGTGTGCTACGAATTTGCTACGAATATTTTTAAAATACGGTTTTCATAGTATATATTAAAAACGTCTGAAAATAATATTATAATTATGTAAATATTATTCCCAAATATTAAAAAAAATATACAATAAATAATTTTAATATGTTGTGATGCTCATCCAGGCAAGTCGAACAAAATTACACACAAAAGCTAACTAAGAAGATTATATGTATGATAACTCTTGTCTCGAAATGCAATTAAGTTGGGCACTTGAAGTCAATTAACTTACGAGTAGCTTTCGCCATTGATTAATGGATTTAGTGCACTTAAAATTAGATACTAAATGGTTTGTAGAGACTTTATGCAAATGTATTTAAATGAAAGAAATACTGTCTACTCGTAAACCCTTTTATCCTTAAGAGTCATGTAACGATGTCCTAAAAACACACTTCCATATTCTTTCTCTACGTGAATGAAAACATACGCAGGCTGTTAAAATTTTTATTGCAGCGGGCACGCAACTGGTGCTTACAAAATATGCTATGCACCGCGCGCACCGGAAACTCGTACGGATTTATACTTACCCACCTCTGCCGCCAAATGAAGACCCGACTAAATGTAATATCCATTTCCTAAATAGACAAACGTCTATCAGCGTCGCCCGGAATAACTATGGCCGATTAGATGCAACGAGCGCACGTCGCTACTCATATTTTATGATATAAAAGAAGTCTATGCAGTTATAGATATTGATTTAAATTATGGCCATTCAATATTTTGTTATATTGATCGGTATAATTTTTAATTTACCCAATATATAGTACTCGTATTAAGATTTTTAGATCATACAAATCTAAATAGTCTTTAAATGCTTCGACAAGTTTTTATGACTACATTAATTCTGTAATAGTTAACTCGTATTACACAAACTGTCATTTAATTTATTTAATACTTATTTGTGATTTTTATAAATATTGAATAGCTAATATGAAAAGTAAACGCATCAGTCAATAAATTATTGAGAGAATTATGTTTTTCAAAATTGCCCTCAACTTATATATTCTTTATTTAGTTTACTGAACTAAGTAAATACGAAAAGATTCTACGTATCATTTACATCATAATATGGATAAAATCTTATAGTTTATGTGATTACCATGTAACTATAGGTACGCATATGCTATTACGAGCAACATGTATACTTTGCAGGAGCTATTTTTAATGATTCAAGTCACAGTGGCCATTACAATATACCAAAAGCTTTTTAAGTGGAGTAGAGCAAAGGTAGCTCTGCTACCATTTGGGACACATGCCCGTCGCTTCACTGCGTTCGGTTTTCAGTTCAATGGCCGATGCCAGCTTTGATGTGTCGAGTGAAATACTGCAGTTTCTTCAGTGATTGCCTACGCGGTAGGTTTTTGATCTCTTTTCCGAAAGAGGTGAAAGCGTTGTATACATTTGATGTGTGACGAGATTTAAGTAACATTGCCTTATTAAGAAATTTTATCTAACAATAAAATATAAACAATGAGAAATAATATTTAGTACAAAACAGTAGAAGTAACAACCTTGAGTATGAAATAATTTAAAGATGAGGTTGCCAAATATAAATTAAGTAATTACAAATTTTTAAATTCATGTGTTTTAGAATATATATTTAAACTTTATCAAGTTTTGCTAAAAATAAAGATACACTGAATTCAAAATACAAAGCTTAAAATAACTATGTAAAATCCTTTCATTTCGCCGTTTATATTTCGTAAAAGAAATTTAAGGCAGTTTTATATTTGTCAAATAAAATAAATGAAATCCTATGTGAATAACTGAATAATAAATTACTTTATTGAATACGTTCTTAATAAAAATACTAAAATTTTTCTTCACTGGAGCATAAATTTCCCTTATTCAGTGAACACTTCGTTTACACGTAATGAACTGCGCCCCTGCTAGCTATTTCAGTCTTTTAAAAATTATATGTACCTACTCGTACTTAGGTACTTTCCATTTGATTATATACAACAAATACGGAAGTAAATTAAAAACTTGCATTAATTTTAAAAGAAAAATATTTAAATCGTTTTCAGAATTTAAAATTTAAATGCGATATTCACTGTTCTTTCACTATTTTACTTTTTTTATTTTTTATAACATTTGAGAAAATTACTTTTTATCTTTGAACATGTAATGTGACAATTTAAGAAATAGTAAAGGAAAAGATGTAATAAAATAAAAGAATAAAATTCGCTTGGACAAACATAAAATGTCACGAGTATGAATCAGTGTATGAGATGCTGTATACAAAATAATTATGTCGACAATAACAGGCGCCCGGCCCAGAGCGTCAACTATGATGAAAAAGTTGATTCATTCCTAAACAAATGCGTTATGCGAATGATTACATAATTAATTTACAGGAATTAGTCAATATTTCCATTTAGTATACGGATATATAGGTCTTGACATATATTATTATATTATATGGATAACTGTGAATCGATAAGTATTTATTTAAATTAAATGGATATTTATAATTTCTGTAATCTACACTTGAATTTATTAAACCAAGCTTTTGATTCATATAATTTTGTATATTAACTTGCAACACTATAAATTTTTTTTTCCACAAACGGTGGCGCCGAGTATATTGAGTTCGTAACTGGTCATGATTCATAACTTGAAAATAAACATACATCTTTTACTCTTTTAGTCTGATCCACAGCACTAAATCATATGATACGATATAAAGTCAACTTTTGTATTTTAATGTATTTTAATGCAGATGAAAGTAATGTGTGTTAGTGTACTAGTAAAGTGATCCATTGCAGATATCATTATTCATTCATGCTTTCATCATGATGGGCTAACTAGCCTGTTTTCATCCTCATCGATTACCCTTCACTGGTGCCCCGCCAGCGTATTCCGTTAGCGCAGGCGGGGTTACCATTCCATTTTCATCCAATAAAAAAAACCTAGTAAAAGGGATTGTTAGTAATGAGGTCTAACAGCTCCATTGCTAGCAATGTACCCTATCAGGTCGACCTCCACGCGGTTTGCCCCTGGAAACCATCGTAGTTATTTATTGTGGGATTCTTCACAATTAGCTAACTGACCTGCTTTTATTCTTACCTATCATCTCTCACTGGTGCCCCGCCAGCGTATACCAATAGCGCAAGCAGGGTTTACCATTCTATTATCACCCATTAAAAAAAACCTAGTAGATACACTCAAACAGTGAAACCTACATAAATTTATATCTCATACAGAAATAAGTACGGCAGTGATACCCTTTAAAATTATTCAGCAGCAAATGTCATTTTACCAAAATGTGAACGTGAACAAAATATCCTTTTTTTCATTCTGTAACAGTTGTTAATCGACAATAGTTCATTTTAATTTAAAATTTAGTAAATTACAATTGATCACATCTCTATATCGGAAAATTTGAAAAATAGATTAGGGTATAGTATAACAATAGTATTTTTGGACATTATAGATCTTATCCTACACCTAATATTAGATACATATACAATAGAACAACTACTTAGTTCAAATCACAATTTTTGCATGAAAGTTTTATAGTGTAATGAAATATCCTAAATTTAATAAATACTTTTATAAAATAAAGTGATTCCAGAAAGGATTTTCGAAAGAAATAATTATATACAAAATATGTAGTTATTTCTTTCAAAAATCCTATTATTCATTCTTTGAAAAGAAAAATTTTTAAGTTCTAACTTTGATCTTTAACTTGAAGGCTTCAGAATACAAACTTTCATCCCCCTGGGGGTAGAATTTCCGTCAATCCTTTTATATTACTTGCCTACGTTACAAAACAAACTTGACTTCCCAAATTTGTAATTCTTGTAACTCAGTGAGTTTCCGCCCTGCATTAACGAATCAGTCACTCGACCAAGACTAACCGGATGAATTTAAATATTACAAACTAGCTACATCCAATGGCTTTGTTTGCATGATTTATAATCAAAACTATTCTATGTGTTAATCTGGAATAAGTCCGTCTGTGTTTCATCAAATTGCATTGAATTATAAATGTTTGCATATAAGTATAGTAAGTTTAGAGTAGATATCTAATTATTTATTTATACATTTAAATATTATTATTATTATAATAAATATTTTAATGATCCCGACGTAATGGTATTATCAAAAATTATTAGTTCAGTAACATTTCATTTACACAGTTTATCAAACATGTAATATATTGTTAGAAATTAACCTTGAGGACTATCATAAGTAAGTATAGAGATAATATTGTGTTTCCTCCGTCTTCGACTACCGTCTCCCTCGTGATAGTGGAACGATATAGTAATGATTGATAGTTGAAAACAAAGTTATAACTCAACTGCATTTAATAGATAACAGGACAAACACTCGTTAAGTTCGACAATAGAGTAAAATCATGGCACATTAGATAATGCTCGTATTGGTTATATTTATTATTTACTTTGTGTCCTGTTTACTAACCCTACAAATTAATTGCACTTAATAGAGCTGTAATATCTACGAGAACTAATAGTACTCTTCAGCAACTGATAATAATGTTTAGGTTTGTTCCCCACTGATTAATTGTTATGTTATATATATAAAATATTTCACAGTTTATTTTTAGGAAATTACTATCGTGTCTTTACTAAGCACGAGTTTCTTCCTATAAGATGAAGATACTTGTATTTTCATGTTGGCCAAATGACTTTTAATTTTACCTTCTCTTGCACGAATGTATTACACTTTGTTCCATCAGTAGCTTCTTACGACATCTCAAGAATAAAAAGTAGCAGAAATGTGTGTGGTGGGGGTATAAGAATGCAATGACATTCTTACTCCCCCATCAAACATAAAATTTATAACTAGATTGTTAAGATTGCTTATATTATTTCTGTTGACATTTGGGTTAGTTTTGGTTAGAATACTCATAATAAAAGTAACTGTAACCTTTTGAAATACTGATTTGAAAGATTTGGTTATTTTGGTTTATTTTTTTAAAACATAGACATCAGTACATTATCAACATATATTAAAATAGCCAGCATTTTTTAAAGAAAGTGTTTTACTAGTGAAACATATAGTTTTTACCTTGGGCGTCCTATTATATACGTCGTGGCGACGCGTCTAACTGTCAAGTTAATAGGGTAGGGTTAAAGGATATTAACAATTTTCAGGCCGTATTTTATGTTTCTACCTAAACAACTACCAAATAGTTTCATACAAAGTACTAATTATTATTAATAACAATATTTTCAAACGACATCAAAAAGAGAAGGTTAAATGAAATGAAAAAGTTTGCTTTTATATTGGTATTTTGCCAACACGAAGTCAGTATTTTTTGATAAAATCTTAAATTATTAACACCTGTATATTTCTTATTAAGGACGTAATAAATTTATAATTGTGACAAGTAAGTACGTCAACAGTGGCAACAGCTTATGGGAGCAATCTTGTACCGAGAACACAGAATACTAGGCGTTTGCGCATTTATATTCCTATCGCGAGTACATTACGGGAGTCACTTCGATGCATGTAAATTACAACATGTTTATTCAACTATACATGCCAGCCTGCATAAGTAATGTGCACGAAGAGCTAAATCTACGTGGCTTCTCATTTTTTAAACTCCAATCTCTGCTGTTAAAACACAAGGTCTATATTGCTTTGAGTAGATTTTTGAGAACGACAATATAAAATTTGGTAATGAGATACGATGTCTTTTTGACATTGATTTTGAATGAGTCTGGACATCTTCAAACCTACATATATGATTTGAGCTCAACTTACTGACGGTCATTGAAACATTAGTCAGACGAAACTATGCTTCTGACTTTTACAAAGTTGTTATATTAAAAATAGTTTTATTGATTCAATTAAATATTATGATTAATATACTAATATGTAAATTTGTATTTAATTTTTTATTCCTTTTCCATATATATATATATATACAAAACTGCAAAACTATTGATGACAGATGACTTCAGAAAATTTTTTTCATATCATGCATACACGATATGCTCAGTAAACTAAAACTAATCATATTTTTAAGTATCTACTAAAAATGATTATTTGTTTAGTAGATATTACAATAAAATAAATCATTGTCATCGCTGCAGTGCGCTGAACTAAGACTAATAAATATTTAAAGTATGGATAAAAAATATTAATTAATTTAACAAAATTTATTGCCGCTAGACTTTGGCATTGTTATTGCCATTATTTATAAAATTATTAAATATTAGAATATTCTTGGTTAATATCTTTTTCATTATTTAACTAATAAAAAATAGTCACAGGACAGGTCTAAGTGATAACTTAAAGTTGACAGACATAAAAATTAATTAATTATTCTGATTTAGAAATCAAGAAGATTGTTTAAATTAATAACAAACAGTATAAATATTAAAGTTATAAAATAAATAACCTTATAAGAAGTCCCATAGGCGACACACTCTAATAAGTCCGAGGTGGTGCTATTGTTCATATATTTAAAAGATTTCTTCAAATAAAGCACCTTTTTGAAAATACGATTATTAGATAACGCAATGGATATAAACTTCAAATTAACATCAATTAATCAACACAAGTTAAGAGAAATTAATAATTTTACAAATTGGCAAAGAAAATTCAAACTTACTCATGTCAGCCATAGTGTCGATCTCTTTATCCACCATTTGATTATTTATTGTTAACAAAAGCCTTCGTTATAAAGCTAACGATTTAAATATCCAACATTGCACTAAACTGCATACAAGCACTAGAAAGGGCACTAAATTGTACAAGAGTCCTGAGTCCAGTGTTGTAGAGTACTGTGGGTTTGCGATGTGGAGTGCACCGGCGCGGGCGCGGCGCGCCAGAACTGTTTGTGCTGGCGTCAGGCGGCGCACGCGCACGCACTTCGCATACTAAAAGCTCGTCGCGACAATAATCGCAACGCCATCCCTCGAGCCTAATCTCGTCAAACGTCAAACAAATTTGGGGCCATGTGTAAATATTCTACAAGCGTTATCGGTGACCAAATAAGACGCTGTAAACACTAAACACGTTTCGATTGTATTCCGTACGCGTTTTTTTAAGATACTCCTAATCGGCGAAACTTTACGGTTCCTGAAAACTGATAAGCTTTTAAACGTATTTCTGTGAACTTAACGATAACACGTTATTATCTGTGTATCTTTCTATTTAATAGTCTTCACAATATATTCGTATGTGATATAGATATCATTTCCATACGACCACAAGATAGTTTATATATGATGATAGCTACGCTCCTGATGACGAGTTCAATGCAACCCATATATAAAAGATGTTCTATTAAACCGATAACTATATGCAGTCTTCTCTATATACAATAGAAAACTTATTAAACTGGAACATGACTGCGCAACGTTTCACTAATTAGTAATATTTGAAATTGATACTATTAAAAGGTCATTTTGTGAGATAGGAGAAAATCAAAAGTACCGCACTCATCACGTATTTCGGAACAATGCATCTTTGTTATCAGTGTAGGGTCAGAGTTGCATTGAGAGAGAGCAATGCTCTCCTTATATCTATCCTACGTCTCGATTGAGTTGTTTATGATCATTATATCATTAAAGTTCACTTCCATGTCCATAATGATTGCCCAATAATAGATTTTAGTACGGTTTCCTTTAGATCATATATCATTATATAAATTATTATAATCGGGTTATATGATTGTTGTAAGCAATAAATATTACGAGATAAATAATTGAAAATTTTTGTACAAATTTTCTTATTTATAAAAACTAAAACCTTCTACAAATCTTTTTTAACTATTACACACTTTTATTGCTTTCTTTCAAATTTAGAATATAGCACAAAAGAAAGAAATAGAATACTTAAATAGCTAATGTTTATGAGATGTTTGGAAAAAGAGGGTAAATGTACCCCATGATACATTAATTCATCAGAATTGATTGTACCGAGTCTAGTTCTCTCCAGAATTAAAACACCTAATATTGGTATCAATTAAATGTAAAACAAAATAATACCCAAATATAGAGTTTGATAATAAACTAATCAAGTATTATATTGTAAAAGCAATATAATACTTGGTTAGTTTATAAATAATGTAAAGCATATATTTTGTTCATAAATGATTTATGTTTTAACCGCCTAAGCATTTATCAGGTTTCACTTTAATACTATTTGTTTTTATTAGAGTACTAACGATTACAAGGGCTGACCTAAAAAATATTCAGAGCAGAAGTACCTTCTTCAAATATTTAAAATCATAAAAGTACCTAATATCTTCAGAATTATTCTGCACAGGCAATGTAGGTTGTTAGAACACTCTATCAAAATGTTATAAACACTTACCTACCTTTAAAAGGAAAGTTTTTAGGTCTCCTGCGTTTTATTGCATCCTCGTCTTTGGGAGTGAATCGAGGGGGTGGCATCCTAGGCACCTCACTAGGCACAGCCGTGACTTCACCCCCACCTACGCCGCCCGTCGCTAGGTATCCTCCGACAGAATGTCTTCTACGGCCTTGCAGTGGTATCGTATAGAATACTTCTTCACGTTCTTGTGTGTGTCCTTCTGGAGTCACCACTTTTGCACTAATCTTGCCTTTCCTGTATTAATGTAGACTTTAAGAACAACCTCTATATCAGTATTCAACAAATGTTATTTTTAAAATTACTTACTTTATTCGTGGAGCAGTAAAGGTATGTCTCATATCACCAGGAGCACAGTCCCCAGGTCTCGGTTGTCCCTTGAGGAACGCTTCAGCTTGCTCCGGCTCTCTTGCTGATAGTGAACGAAGCAGAGCACGGAATTCCTTCCGTCTTGGACTTTCTGGTTCTCTACGACGCGGAGAACCCAAGGGTCTGACAGAATCAGGCCAAACGCGACTTGGTGCCGAGCGAGAATATGTTTCCGATGACGCGCCATGTGATTCCGCGCTATCAGTGAGGTCTTTGTCTGGTAGCGCGAAATAAGATGGATTATCTGAAACAAAAATGGAATATTTATTATGTAAAGGTATTACTTACTTAATCGTATAACTTGCTTTGTATTTTAAGTGCTTTCAAAGGGGTATAAATAAAGTATATACATATATAAAGACTTCCAATTTTGTTTTCCATTTCCTAAATTTTTGTCTAAAAATCAAGGACAAGAAAGAGAAGATAGTAAATGGTCATTTACCAAGAATCATAATGGCAACAACAACGGCGTCCCACGATGGCCACCGCTCGTCGACTGTGCCTTGCGAGAATTATTCAATAACGCCAATGAAATAACGGCTCTCCATTACGTCCAGTACGGACTGAGTGGAGCAAGCAACCTACTTTTGGAAGCCGGAAAATGCGAATTGAAAGCAATCGTAGAATAGTCCACCCTGCCTAGACTACGCCGAGATAACGAAGTTAAGGCACGCACAATTTTTTTTCTTTCATTCTCAGTTTATTCCCTTACAAATACATTACAAAGTAATAAGTAGTAATTCTATTATTATAAACACTCATTTATAATACACAATCAAAATCAACTAGGTACTTATATTGCAACGCTATTATGAGATTAAAAACTCAAACTTTGATAGATGTAACAAATAATAACTACTCGTTTTTGTACTTTTTTGTCTATCCCGCATATGCGGAGCATATTAGAATCCAAAATTTTCTATACGAGAAGGGATGAATGAAGGGTCTGGTCTCGGCAACATGCGGTCGAACATAAAAACGAGATGACACAAACAATATGACAATGGTACTTCCACTTAGTAACTGTAGCTAAAGCTTGTCTATTAACTGATATTATTTTATTAGAGAATAGTGATGATGTACGAGTATATGACAATAATTGATGGTTTTAGTATCTATGCGTGTGCCCTTTGCTACTTTTTATGGGGGTACTAACGAACAGATTTATTGTTGATTTGATATTACTCGTAAATATGTAGACCTCTCTCGCTATGTTTTTATCTTTTCCCTTGGAAATAAATTCCGCTATATTTTTGTATTATTTTATTTGTATTTTTTACAGTTTTTCAACTGAAAAATATTCTAATGTTAACCTAGGAACTAGTTCTTAAATAAAAAGCCAAATGTCATCAATATCCATTCAATAATTTTAGTCCGATGCCTGCAAACATTTACTTGACGAATTAGTAAAGAAAATATACACAATCAGATACTTAATTTGGAATGTGCACGCTAATCTAATATTAATTATTGTATTGTTATCACATTAATAAAATATTACATAAAAAAGTTATTTTTATTCCTATTTTCATTTATTTTTATACGATACATATGTACATCATAAATATTTATGAATACATTAATACTAACTATAATCAAATAATAGTTTTTCGGCACTCTTTCCATCGAATTCATCTACGTACTCGTAATTAAGGAAGCAAGTCGACATCTGCCAACACAGTGGGATATATGTATAGCATCCGTTGTCTGATGAATCAATCAGAGTTCTCGGAAATAATGTAAAAGATTCTCTATTAGTTTTCTGAATAATTGCGTTACGGTCTTTCAAATAAATGAGTAAAACGGACGTTCTTGACATTAATTAAATAAATCAGATATGGCCTACTTAATCATCATTATAATTACATCATTTTTTAAAATACAGAATTATATATAAAAGTATCATATAATATTTTATATTAGACTTTTATAATAAATTAATACCATATTAGCAGAGTCAATTAATTTTTAAAATAAAGCTAAGAGTTTTTGAAATATTTGGTCGTTAGTTTTAATCAAATTAATTATTTAATTATTAATAAAAAAATAAATATTTATAAGTAAAAAATAATTTTTAAAGTATCTAATAAAACAACATGCTATTTTGCTGCTGCATGCATGCTGGTTTACGTATATCAATACAACTATTAATTAAACTTAATATGCAAGAGACGTACTTTTATCTATCCATATTTATAGGTCTGTACAGTAAGTAGTACGTACTTACCTATAGCTACATATAGGCAACTCGTTGTAACTACGTGTCTACATATACACTCTATGCAGGTACATAATACATGAATATAAAAAAATATATATTATGCAGTATTAATATAATATAAAATGCTTGTATTAAAGTTATATGTAAATAGTTATATACACACTTCTTACTGCATAAAATTTTTAATTTATATAATTACTTAAATGTAATTATGAATTTCCAAGAATTAACAAAAAATATTTAAAAAATATCGCGCGTTCAAAGGCCAAAGAAAATTATAAAAGTTTCATAATTATCTCCGAGCGAATTTTAGGCGGGCGGGCGCGAGCGAATAAACTTCGATAATATGTATACGAATTGTATAGTATATTGGAGACTCACTTGTAGCTCGGAGGCAATAGTCGTATTGGGGTCCCATGATATCGAAGAGATCACCATAACACACTAAACACGACACATCCCGTCGAATGCGCGGCGGGCTCTGCGCTTGCGCTGCGCTCTATCTCATAGCGCGTTCGGCACGCACGCAGGTGGATTGTAGCAAGCGTGGCTTAGCACACACGTGTGGAGCTTTCACAAGGAAGCTAAGCTTTCTTAGCACGCGCTAGCAGGAAGCGTCCCACACCACTATGCCCATTCGCCCGCCAGAAATGTACGCTACGAGCAGGGGAGTCTGTGCCCGCGCCTGCTTGCTGCGCCCTCGTTTAATATCCGATGTAGTAGGTACATCCGCTCCGGTAGCACACGCTAGGCGCTATGTTTGTAAATAAACCCCGTACCTACATTGTTGATGTTTACTTGTTCAGTCATACTCGTTTCAGTTTTACTCTATCAGGAAAGGGTAACAGGGCACGTTAGCCGTAAAATTATGTTACTTATATGTTAAAAATGAAGTAACGTGATCGGTTTAGTATGAAAGTTATATTTATATTTAAACTCGAGTTGTTCCTTTATCTTTCGAAATTGACAGATTTTTACTAGATAATACATTTCTTTGCTTATAATAAAAGAAATTAAGTTTTTTGTAACATATATTTTTCCAATCGACCCAAATAGACACATTCATTTTGTAATGAACTAGCTGTATCCCGTGACTTCATCTATGCATATTATGAAGCAAACTATATACAGTATAGGTACAATACCCCTACAGTGTTAGGTTATAACTTATCTATGTACTAAATTTGTTTAGTAGTTTTTGCGTGAGAAAGTTCCATCTATATATGTTTAGATCCTCATAAAGTTTTGCGTTTATAATAGTAGTAGGGTTTATATATTCAGGTATGATCTATACCTGAATATATCTATTTTTTAGACTTTTTAGTACGTATAATACGTACGTATTTGTTTATAATTTGGCAAATTCCGTCAACATTTATTTAAATCAATTCAATAGACAGGTGCCTACCTACCTTCATTATTAAGATTCGGGAATGTACCAAAACACGATAGAAAGACTGAATGACTTTCACTACTTGCCCAACAAGAATACTGATTTTCATTCCGACGATGGGCCTTTTTTCGTGACAAACATACGGAAAAAAAAACTACATTGTTATAACAAGTAACTAAATATAATTCAACTAGCAATCCAGCCTGACTTTGCACCGGTAGATAAAATTTTCAAATATAATATATAGCGTATGTTTCTCGCCAATAATGCATCTTTCCATAGGTGTAAGAATGTCTAAAATGAGTTGAGTAATATTTTATTTTTTTTCTATTACAAGCAAACGAATAATCAAATCTTTCTTCTTTATAATATGTATTAGTATAGATATAACTGAGGATTTAAATATTATGTAATATATTAGAAAAAACATAAGTTCTTCTCCATTCATATACTGGTGGAGCCTTTAAGGCACCAAGAAATAACGAACTTTTTTACATTTAGATATTAGCAATATTAGTAAGAATATTGGGTATGTGACATCTTCCAAAGAACGCTAAACTTGACGTGAACCAAACCTCGGAGTCCAAGTGTCGAATAACGTCGGTTCGCAATCGTGCATGACAACGTACATTTTTTCAATCTCAACTTCTCGTTTCATTCGAAAAAGGAACAACGTTTTAGGACTGTATTCATAAAGCATTCGCTTTGCAACATTTCGAGAGATTATATTATATATATATATATATATATATATATATATATATATATATATATATATATATATATATATATATATATATATATATATATATATATATATATATATATATAACCAACGCTAATTCACGGTTTTGTCTGTAAAAAATAGATTTAAAAATATCATACTACGTGTTTCTTTTAAAATGCGGTCTTTTAGTGTATCAAATTTAATTTAACACCAGTTACCACCATCAATTTAAATGTAACAAACATTCAAACGTCTGTTCAAACTTTCACATTTGTAATGGTTACTAGCTATATGCCGCAAATTTACCAGCATGAATGAATAAACGTAAAAGAATAGTAAACATCCATCCTCATAATAACTTTAAGTGATAATTCAAAATAAATTTACCACACCGATACTAATGATTTTAATTGATTTTGAGTACCTAAATCACAAAGTATTTTTATAACAATTTTCAATAAATAATTTTATGATATATTACAGAATTACAGAAAGTGTAAATGACAGGATTGTATATCTAAACTAATTTATTTAAACTATATAAAAAATACAGACTACAAGTTTACAAGTACAAGTAATTTAAAATCCGTAATTGATATTTATATCTATGAACATTATTCCATTATGCTTACATAATAATTTTTATAAATATACATGTACCAGTTTACGACCAAAAGCATAAAACCATATCGAGTGACATAAAATCGATCTCTCTGTTAGTGGAAATAAAAAAATATACCAGATGTTGAACGATCTGTGTTTACTTGCATCTGCTGTAAAACAAAGCTTACTTTTGTACCACCACGACTATATAATCTGAGCATCATGGAATAACAAAGGGTATGGTATGTAGGTACACTTATTTATTTAGTACATTAACCTTTTTAAATCTTTTTAGGCGTGAAATTTAGGCTTTTATATTATATTAAATATATTTTAAATATATTATATTCAATATATTTTTTTGTTCCGTAGGTAATTGATTTAAAAATATTTATATAGCAACTTAGTATAAGTCTATGTTAGATATTTAATAAGGTATAAATTGTAAATAGATACACATACATAGATACCTAGAAGTGAAAGAAGTAAAAAAGCTTCTTTCTCCTCGGAGAGATAACAACAGAATATCAGAAAAAAAATCATAATACATTTTGATCTATTTCCGATTACTTAAACGTATCGTATATATAAATATGGTTTTATCTAATAATTATAATTCGATATAAAACTGTAGTTTACAAGTAAATTAGAACATTGCGTATTTGAGTTGTAAACTTAAATTGTATTAAAACACGCGGGCAGGTCAAAAACCGTAAATTCCATGTATTCTTGGAATGTGTTTGAGTTATTTTTGATGGCAAAGTGTAGGCACCGTTACTGTCTGAATTAAATCTTCATTAGTCACTGCAATGCACGAACTTAACATTACATTTTATTAGTGGCTGTGTTTTGTGTCTTCCGTGCTATGGTGGAATAATATGCCACTACGTCTTTTCATTCCCAAGATGATGATGTCTAAAAAAATAAAGCACATTAGCAGTGCAAGAGAAAGAAAATTCGAAATAAAACCTTATGCTATATTGTAGGGAAAAGGGATTATTAGCAATAGAATCTAACAGCATCATTGATAGCAATGTACCCTACAAGGTCGAGCCTCACGCAGTTTCCTCTGGAAACCATCGTTGTTAATTTTTTAATACATCATGATGGGTTAACTGATCTTTACTTATCATCACTCACTGATGCCCCACTAGCGTATACCGGTAGTGCAGGCGGCGCTACTATTTCATTATCATCCATGAAAGACTATATCATATTACATGACTTGCGTTGTAATAACAACTTATATGCTCTTCTCATAGAAAAGTCTCGTGGCCAACAGTATTAAGATGGAGGTATGCGCTTAGCAGTTGAGAAGTAAATCAATAATTAATACTGTGAATTTAATAGTTGCCATCACCTCGTCTCTTTCTGTCATTAAGCGTATTTATCATTATCATCATCATTTCAGCTGCTAACTGTCTACTGTAGAAAATATGTCTTCCCGATAAGAGGAGTTTTGTCAATAGTTATCATGCTCAGCAGACGGTTTGGTAACCGCAGTTAGGATTTTAGATGTGTTTTAAGAAAGACGATGTTGCCCATCTCTCTACCTTTCGTCTCCTCCTACGACATCTCTCTTCCTTTAGTCTCCTCTTACGACACACACAGGAAGTGGTGGCCTATTCTATGCCGGGACCACAGGGACAAGCATGTTTATACATAATGCTTTTTATACAATTTAGATTAAGTAAATAAGGAGACGGTTGATCCTATTACCGAAGTATAATGCTGGCTACTGTATCGCACTGGATTTGTTTTTTTTTTTTTGTAATAAAAAGCCTAAACTTCTTTAAAGATTTTTTCTTCTATAGAAAACAAAATATTTCTCTACAAGTAATTCGTTTTTATGTTTGTAATGTTGTATTGAATGTAAAAATATATATAATATTCAACTATGCATGTGATATTTTAAATCAACGATGAAAGTTGTAACTGGCGCATAGTCATGACAAAAAATCTTCTGACCATAAACCTAATATAAGACACTAACTACGTACTGAGCTAAAATTTAAGTCGGTTTTGTTTTTTAAGATTAATTTTAATTTCCTTGATTACTTGTGAGTTTTGCACAAATTCATAATTTAGCCCTTTATTATGTGAGCTCTTTAAGCACATTTATATACGCGATCTGTATAATTTAGAGAAATGTAGTAACATTTATTACTTTCTTAAAATGCCTACATAGAGGAATAAGTCACATAGTTTTATGGATCGGCATACGAGCATTGTACGTCCACTGCATCAACGGAGATACAATTGGCTACTTCCGTTGGTGTCGAACCAATTACTCTCTAGATACCTACGTAATCACAAAAATAGAGCTAGTGAATATCTAAAATAATGGATGTTAAATGAGGATAATAACACGAGGTCGTTCTCTTTTCGGATAAGTGTTTTAAATACGTGAAAATTTATAATATAAACTGTTGCTAATTTAAACATACTAAAGGAAGAACTTTGTAGGTTAGTAATTCAAAATTAACTCCGCATTGTGTACTAGCGCAGTTCTGATATTAAACAGATTCCACAGTCTGCTTAATTCCATATTCAAAGTTCATCGGCCAACCTGTCTAGATTAACGAATTCCAGATGCACGCATTATGAAGTAGATCATCGACTCACGCACGACCTACAAATTAGAGTGTAATATACCTTGAGATATATTTAAGTTTACACAAAATGTGTGTATAAGGCAAGGAAGCATTATTAAGAATGGAGGATGCAGCAGTTTGTGTATCTAGCCCAAAGGAAAACAATATATAAGTTTACAAATTAAAATAGTATCTAGTAATAAACCAGTGAAAGATTATAACAGTAAATTGGTTAAATAATAAATTTTACTA